GTATGGATTGTGATAAGAGTTGTACGAGGCCCCAATAAAATGATTAAAAAAAATAATAATAACAAAATTTTAATCCCCATAGGCAATATTTATATGAGAGAGTTTTAAAAGATTTCATGAAAAAAATCCTGCTGTCTTTTAATTTCATTTTTCACAAGTTTTGGAAGCCTCCTTGTACACTAGTAAGTAGTGGGTACACATGCATGGAGGGAGAAAGATTGGAAGTCAAGGAACCACGGGTCCATCCAATCACTCACTCATCCAACGAACACTTCTTAAGTGTTCACTGTACCAGATGTCACTTTGAGACCGAAGGTGTGCCTGATCCAAGCTATGGGATTTTCAATCACCTCATGCGCATGTGATTATTGGACACTGAGTAATGCAGACCTAAGGATGGATGTGTTTAAATTATGTTGCTGGTAAAGAATATTGTTCAAGTACCACGGACTTCCAAAAGAACAAATAAGTTGGTCTTGCAAGAAGTATGCTCCTTAGAGTCAAAGATTCATGTACTTTGGATATGGTATCAGGAGAGGCCAGTCCCTTTAAAAGGACAGCATGCTCATCAAGTAGAGGTGTCGCACAACAGAAGCCCCTCGACAAGATGAGTTGCGACAATGCTGGTCTCAACCCTAACAACTGTGAGTATTTCGTTCAGTTGTACACAGGTGCACTTGGAGTTGGAAATGACTTGACAGCACCTAACCAAAGACCAGAATGCCTGGTGACATAGCCGTTAAAGCACTTGGCTGCTAACCCACCAGCTGTTCTCCAGAAAGATACAGCCGCCTGATTCTGCACAGACTTCCAGTCTTGGCCACCCTGTGTGGCGGTTCTCCTGTGTGCTACAGGGTTGCAATGAGTCGAAAGGAATCAACTTGAGGGCAGTGAATTTGACTTCTTATATCAGACACTGTGCTGGGCACTGGACATTAAAGGGTGTTGAATAGACTTTGGGTGTTTTACTTCTTCCTTCTCTTTTGTACTTCTTAAAAGTTCTACTGCGAGTATGTTTGCACTTATAAAATGGGGGGGAGGGTATTACACTTATTTTGAAAACATGGAGTTCAGAAAGGAGAAGGTTGGTATAACTGACAGTGCTGAACAGAAGAGCTTTTGAAACCATCACATCATTTGAAGGAATGTTGGGATTCTGAATCCACAAGGGCTTTAACTTCCCCTTGTGAAAAAACATTTTTCCAGCAAGCAGAAGACATAGCTTTAAGAAAAGAAATCTTTTTATTAGTATGACTATCTTTTCACTTCAATATTTGCCTATCTTAGTACAAATAACATATTTTCTTGTAAAGGAACATTTTGGGATGAGTTATTTAAATAACTTAAGTGTTGTTTTTTTCTTCTGTAACAATGGGTTTTGGGGTAAAAAGAATATAAAAAATATAGGTTGTAAAGTGATTTGAATATACATAAATACAAAATATCTATAAAATGTCTTTTGTGAAAGCGATTTACTGAGACTTTTCTTTTTCACTATTTTCCTTCTGTTTTTCTAAATAATCTTTAAGGAGATTGTTCAGCTGCGGTTCATAATGGCTTGCATGTTGCAATCCATCTTCTCTTCCTTAAAAGATACAAAACATGAGATAACTGGTCCTTATTTTATAATAGTCCCCAGATCATTACTATTTTAGTCAGCTACCACAGTGCAAATTTAATGCTGTCCCTGTTCAGACCTCCCAAGAATTTAACCCCCTAATGTCCATTTTAATTCAAAATAATTGACTTAAATATAGATATTTACATTTTCATTTTACCTTCACAGTGTTGGATCACACGTGCCCATAGTCGATTTTTCCTCAAACAAGCTAAATTTCCCACAATCAATAAATGCCTCCTTCCTCTGGTCAAGGCAACATTCATTCTTTTTTCTGAGTCAATGAACCCTACTTCTTTTGTCCTGACACAGGACAAAATAATGATCTCCTTTTCAGCTCCCTGAAAAGCATCTACTGTGGACACCTGGACAGCTTTAAGGCTGGAGTGGTCAAAGTCCACAGCATTGAGTAAATGACAAACCTGTGAGGAAATAAAAACCGGGATCAGACAACGTAGGGATTGTGAAGAACTTACGCTTCTGAACCTAAACAGAGAAGCCATTTTAATTAACCTAATAGTGGAAAGGCTCCCTGTTGGCACAATGACTTTAGCATTGCGTTGCTAACCTCAGGTCAGCGGTTCAAACCCCTCAGCTGCTTTATGGGAGAAAGATACAGATGTCTGCTCCCTCCCATAATGATTTTCAGTCTCAAAAACCCACACGAGCAGGTTTACTCTGTCCTATAGGTTTTCCATGTAACAGATTTTAATAGTGTATGCTTTTCATTTCTGCTTAGTCTAAGATTGTAAACTAATCAATTAATTCAATACTAATTATGAAAAAAAATCAAAAGTAATTACGATCCAGGGCCAGTAAGTTCATTTAGATGTGCTCATATTCATAACATTCAGAGTCAATAAACAATAATAATAAAAACTAAAGAGAGAAAGAAAACCTAGTTAGATAAAATTGGCTTATATGCACATTCATATCTGGTATATATACTTGATTTACTGGTAAAACTTAATAATAACGAAAGAATATTTTGAAAACAGAAATTCCATCTGTCTCAAAACACAAAGCATACACCACATTTCCCTTTCCCTAATTTGTTTATTTGCATTTTTGCCCCAAACAGCTGTAAACTGAATTTAATTAAACCTTGTTAGATTTACATTTAATTATATAGAAAAAGAGCCAGACCAGAAAAAAATCAGAATGCTTCTTTTTTAATACCTTATGAACCTGGCAGTTTTCTGAGCACCAACCAAACAGCATAATGTATGGTTAAATATTATGAGATGTAAGTATAATACTTAATATGGGATAACTATTACAGTGTGCATTACAAACCTTGTACATCTGGGATTTGTATAATGTTATCACTCCAATCATAGAGCCTGCTATTCCACTTGCAATCAGTGATTGAATCAGCTTGAGTGTAAAGGCAGCTTCTGCTGCATTCTGAAAGCTGTTATCTCTTTCAATCTGGAAGAAAAAGCAGATCCTAAATTATATTTCCCAGAAAGACTAGGGGAAGACCAAGTAAAATCATACAAACAACACCAATAAAATTAAGCCAGGATATTAAATGTGTTTCCTCCCATTAACATCATTTACCTGCTCCAGTCCTTTGACATTATAGAAACACAGGGTTGGTAGCCAGTCCAATAATGGGCTTCTCTCTGTTTCTGAAACACCATTCAAGAGATTTCCTTCATAGAACAGATCATTAGCAATAGCACTGATTGCAGGATGACAACGATACTGGGTTCTCAGTGGGATTGCCTTGTGCCCCTAAGACATTTAGATATAAAAAAATAAGAATATGCTCTTTTTTCCTTCTCTCTACAGAAAGAAAAATGATTATATGTAAAGAATTTTTAATTTTACTATATTGTATTCTTAGGAGATGAATTATAACCACAATAGAATAAAATACATATAAAAATAATTTTTTAAAAATTACTGAAAATATTCTCATAGTAAACTATTATTACATTAGAAAACTATAAAACATACAACATGCCAAGTCTTAGACATTTTATCTGATACAACCGGCATTTAACGGTATGTTTTCATAATCCACTTGAAGTTGGCCTAAGACTAAATCTAAATTTTTAAAAATAACGCTGTTGATAATACATTAATTAACTTTCCTTTTTGGGTAAAAGCTATTACTCATTAAGACTCTTCAAAGAAGTTTTAGATTTTGTTAATGCATCATAAAATCCAAATCTCAGCTACTTTAGGGTTCTTCTCGATCATATTTCCAATAAGTTCTGTGTTAGAACTGTGTTAACTATTGTTAGAATATTTTGAATAACAAGCTTCCCTAATAATAATACATGCACGTTAAAATGTAGCATTACATGGACACAATTCCTTACATAGAACAAAAAGATGATGCAAAGCAATGATCAGTTACCAGTTACTCTTTAGAAGACAGATTTATAAGTAAGTCTAAGTCAGTGTGGATTTGTACCCATGACAAAAAGCTGTGGAACAAACATGCTGAAAGGGTTGTTAGTTAAGATTGCTGTTGTTAGATGCCATATCCAGTCAGTTCCAACTCTGTGTACAACAGAACAAAACTGCTTTCATCAGCATTGACTGTGGATCTAAGCAAGATGAAATCCTTGACAATTTCAACCTGTTCTCCATCTATCACAATGTTACGTATTGGTCCAGTTGTGAGGATTTGGGTTTTGTTTATAGTGAGTTGTACTTCACACTGAAGGCTACAATCCTTGATCTTCATCAGTATGTGCTTCAAGTCCGCCTCACTTTCAGCAACAAGGTTGTGTCATCTGCATTTTACTGGTTGTTAATAAGCCTTCTTCCAATCCTGATACTGCATTCTTCTTCATCTAATACAGCTTGTCTGAATATTAGCTGAGCATATAAACTGAATAAGTAATGGTAAGAGGATACAACCCTGATGCACACTTTTTCTGATTTTAAACTATACAGTACTCCCTTGTTCTGTTTACACACTGCCCCTTGATCTATGTAGAGGTTCTCCATGAGCACAATGAACTGTCCTGGAATTCCCATTTTCTCAAGGTTATCCATAGTTTTTATGAACCTCACAGTTAAGTGTTTGGCACAGTCAATGAAACACAAGTAAACTTTCTGGTATTCTCTGCTTTGAGTCAAGATCATCTGACATCAGCAATGAGATCCCTAGTTCCATGTCCTCTTCTGAATCTAGCCAAAACCTCTAGCAGCTCCCTGTAAACATAGCGCTGCAACCATTGTTGGATGCTTTTCAGAAACATTTTACTTGCATTTGATATATGTGACACTGCTCTATAGTTTGAGCATTCTGATAGATCACCTTTGTTGGAATGGGTATAAATATGAATCTCTTCCAATAAGTTGGTCAAGCAGCTCCCTTCAAAATTTCCTGGCATAGATGAGTGATTACTTTCAGTGCTTCACCAGCTTGTTGAAACATTTCAATTGGTATCCCATCAATTCCTGGAACTCTAGTTTGGCCTAATGCTTTCAATGCAGCTTGAACATCTTCCTTCAGTATCATTGGTTCTTGCTCATATGCTACCTCCTGAAATGGTTGAATATCGACTAGTTCTTTTTCATACAGTGATTTCATATATTCTTTCCATCTACTTTTGATCTTTTCTGCATCATTCAATCTTTCGCCCATAGGATCTTTTGATATTGCAACTTAAGGCTTGACTTTTTTCTTGCGTTCTTTCAGTTTAGTATATGCTGAGCATCTTCTCCTTTTGGGTTTTCTGTCTGTAGGCCATTGCACATTGAATTTTAGTATTTCTCTTCTCAAGCTGCCATTTGAAATCTGTTCAGTCCTTTGATTTCATTATTTCTTCCACTTGCCTTAGCTGCTCTACTATAAATGGGGAGTTTCAGAGTCTCTTCTGACATCCACTTTGATCTTTTCTTTCTTTCTGGTTTTTCAATGACCTTTTGCTTTTTTCAAGTATGATGTTCTTGATGTCATCCCACAGCTACTCAGGTCTTCTGTCGTTAGTGTTTGTTCAGTACATCAGATCTGTTCTTGAGATGTTCTCAGAATTCTGGTGGGATACACTCAAGGTCGTTATTTTGGCTCTCATGAACTTGTTTGAATTTTCATCCCCTTCAACTGAACTTGCATATAAGCAATTGAGGGTTTATACCAGTTAACCAATGGCCTGGTTTTTAGCGTCTCCATCATCTCTTCCCATAGACATAGTCTGAAATTGAGCTTCTCCATGGCCTCTTCTCACAGATTTAGTCGATTTGATTTTTGCATTCCATCTGGAGAAGTATATGTGTATAGTCAACTTTTGTGTTGCTGATACAGGGTAATTTGCTATAAACAAGGCATTGGTCTTGCAAAATTCTGTCATGCGATGTTCAGCTTCTTTTCTATCACCAAGACCATATTTTGCAAATACCGTATCTTCCTCTGTTTCCAACTTTTGCATTCCAATGGGAAATAATTATCAAGGCATCCTGATTGCACCTTTGATCAATTTCAGACGGAAGATGTTGGTAGAACTCTTCAATTTCATTATCACTAGCCTTAGTGTTGGTGCATAAATCTGAATAACAGTTATACTAATTGGACTTCCTTGTATTCAGATAGATATTATCCTATCTCGGACAGCACTGAGTGTCAAGATAGATCTTGAAATGTCCTTTTTGACGATGACGGCAATGTCATTCTTCTCAACTGTGTCATTCACACAAAAATAATTATAGTGTAACCATCAGAACAGAAACTTGGGAAGGGGGGAAATGGGCCGAAAATTAGTTTGTGAGTGCCAATATCTCTGCATTGTTCATCCCATTCTAGCTAGAATCGCTTGTTAAAAGGATCTTGCTGTGAAGATTATTGCATCTTCTAGATCAAGCAATATTTACTTGAGATTTTAACATTTTCAGTTTCTCTTTCTCTATTAAAAATAACAGATGATTCAAAGATCAAACAGCAAGATATCTCCATAAAGGCCATTTTGGCTGGAGTATGTTTACAAAGTTAGCTTGATTTAGAATACAGTATTGCAACAAAAAAACAGAAATAATTAACAAATAGTGAATTATGGTGTATACATGCAATAAAATATTATTCAGACACACAAAAAACAAATAAAGTACCAGGACATGCTATAATATGAATGAACCTCGAAATAATGATGCTTTTTAGCATCGACACGGTTTTATTTGGGGGGATAAAGGTAGTGGTTGCACAAAACTCTGTGCCAAATGAACTACTGCTCACTTTAAAATGGTTAACATTATGTTATAAGAATTTTACCTCAAGTTAAAAAAGAGTGATAGTTAATTAATTTTTTTTTTCAAATATCTGAAATAGCATTCCCAAGCAGTGCTGGTTTGAGGGATAGATGATACTAATGGCACACTGAATCAACGAGCTATCATCTTAGAACCTATGAATTTTCTTAGTGTTAAAGCAAATGCAATATAGCCATTGCTAAAGTACACAGATAAAATATTCTTTATCAAGGGGTACACAATTATATGTTTTACTCATTTTTTAAAGGAGTACTTTTGAAACAACTCTAACTTTTAAATTTTTCATTCTTTATCAAGCCACTCAGCATGAAATCAATGAATGATGATTCTGTCTGTACCATTAAGCAAAGTCGATCAAAGAGAGTTTGTTCCAGTCCACTTTCATGGGCTGCATCAGAACCCTGGATAGTAGGAGGCAGCTGTCTGGGGTCTCCAACAAGAATTAGCTTTTCACATTCAAATCTATAAACAGAATTTGAAAAATAAATTACATTCTGAGAAAAGGAGCCTTTATAGCAGTGTTTCCAAAATATATTCCAATACTTTGAATTCTAGGAACTAAAAAGTCTCAATAATGCTATTAAATGCATTGAGTTTTGAGAAGTTATACAGTAAAGAATGTATGTAAAATCTTTACATAGCTTTATTTTCTCCATAAAATCTACTAAGTACCCACTGTTCCTACATACAGTTGGTATTTTACAGGATAAACTTTAGCAAACACTAATTTTAATAATACAAAGGCTTTTTATTCCCTAATAATTTTACTGGGGGCACTTACAGCTCTTATGCTCCATAGATCAATTGTATCAAGCATACTTGTACATATGTTGCATCATCATTTCAAAACATTTCTTTCTACTTGAGCCCTTGGTATAAGGGCCTCTCCAAAAGCTTTTAAGAAGAAAAGATTTAGAAGTTGTTTGGCTTAAGCTCTTATCTTAGAGATGAAGTGAATTAGGTGGGGAGGGGCTATATGTCTTTCAAATAAAAGAGCCGGACAAAATGGGAATGTTTAAATTAATGGATAAAGCTATGTTCATATCTCAGCTCTATGATTCTGTGGACAGTTAAATGTCTCCAGGGTTCAGTATCATTATCAGTAATGCCTCTAAGTTACTGGCAGTAATATTTTGCATGGCTGTTTAAGGATTAGAGATGTCATGTAATGTGGTTATTGTACACCATGTGTATATCGTACCCCATGCAAGAAGTATTATTCCCCTAGCCTTCGCTCTGGGCTGTGCTTCTTCTCTAACCCTACCTCCTGAGTAGGGTGACCACCTTATCCCGACTGTCTTAGGACGGTCCTACTTTTAAAATGAAAAGTCTCATGTCTGAGAACTTTCTAAGTCCCAAGTAAATTATGACAGTTCACCCCTTACTTCCTCATTAGTTGAAGATAGAGCAAGAACTAGAACTCAGGCCAAGTCTAGTACTCGTTCTACTACCTTTGCATCAATGCACAACGTTCTAATGTGCTGGGACAGTTTAGAAGAATCCAAAGTTCTCAAATTGTCAACTGTTTTTTCCTTTATATACTTTCATATTTTAAAAATTATTTTCAGAATCCAAACACAAGAATTATATCCAGGTAAGGGGGCTTAAGGGCAAATTTCAAGAGAGCTAGGTCCTCAACCCACAACTAAATTAGAACCTTTAACGTAGTTGAGACATCAGCAAGGTCCAAGGTAGGATCCTTGCATTAAGGCTATATAAAGTTTTAGGATTAAATAAAGCCCATGTCTAAACTGGGATCAATCAAAATTTTGATACAGTAGCTACTAATTCTTTGTATACTTTTTCAAAAGTCAATTTAGTATTTGACTGGCAACATTTTTGGAAATGTTGAAGAAATGTGTGTTCAGTCAGAAACTGAACTGAGAACATGACTGCAGTGTTATGACATCTGCGTGTCTTAGGGAAAAGAATCTTTTACGGTACGTACCTTGCAATGGGGAGGAGAGAAGCTGGCTCAGTTATCTGACTACATTCATCCAGTACCACTACGGGGAACTTAAGATCATTCAAGCACGGAAATGGACAGGCTGCACAGGTTACTCCAATGACTCGAACCTTTGTTATAACAAAAATGTCACCAATTAACAACTAATAAGAAAACGAAGAACGTGTTTACCAGAGAACTTGTAAGCAAAAATAGAAAACCAGGGCTTGTCCTAATTTAATTACTGATAATCATAAACACAGGTCACTTCACATTTTCATTATTCTCACATAGAAAATGGGAATAACAGAATACAGGCTACTTAAACCACTGCCTGCCCTTCAATAGGACTAAATTAAAGGTACATTTTGATTTTCAGAATAAAGCGATCATAAAATCAAAGGTTTTAAAAGTATCCTCGGTGGCATACATATTGTATTGTTCTAGAGGAGGCTGAGTCCTATGATGCCCTGGAACAACACCCAAAGACCACGAAATATCCTAATGCCCTGTCACTTGCTTGACCTTCAAGTACACTAGGGTCTGCTTTCCTTAAGAAGAGATAAAGCAGTTAATTCCAAAATGAGTAAATTAAAGTGTACTGATAGTTTGTAAGTACATACATTAGAATATCAATAGTCTTAAATATTATTGCAGAAGACCATAATTCTAAAAGCGAAAAGTCTGATAAAAATTAATATCCAATCTCTGGAATTAGACAACAGGAAAAAAAATCTATGAATTTTCTAATTGAACATGGTTAATAACCTTCCAGCTATAAATATGTGTTTATATATTGAGGAGTCCTGGCGGCATAATGGTTAGTAATTTTTCCCGACTAGGCGAGCATTGAGCAACTCACTCTGAGTTAGTGCACCCAGTGGCATCACCTGGGGAAAGGTTCTTTCTGGTCTTAGGGAGGACTGATTTAAGACAAGTGTGTGGCTGTGAAATTTTGTTTTCTGCTCAGGGAAAAGTGTTGCAGATACTGTTGTGATGTTGAACACAACTTACAAGGGGAGCACTAGGGAAAGACGCAAGTGTACGAATGGTTTTCTCTTTTCAAAAAGGGTGAAATGTTGATTGATGACAAATTTCATTCTGGACATCCATCAACTTCCTGAACTGATGAAAATGTCAACTCGTAGTGCATTTGGAATTCGTTACACCAGGTCAGACTGTTCATCAAGCTTTCTATTTACAGGTTTTGAAAAGATTGCATTACAGTGTGCAACAAAAAACGCCTGATTTGTGGCAGACGGGGGACTGGTTTGCCACCATAACAATGCACCTGCTCATGCAGCGATCTCAGTGTACCCATTTTGGGGGGCAAAAAACAGCATGCCTCTCTTGCCCCACACACTTTACTCGCCTGACATCGCTCTGTGCAACTTCTTTTTGTTTCTGTGAAGGCACAGGGACATAAAAGGACAGTGATTTGACGACATAAAAGAGGTGAAGAAAAAAATGAAGGAGGTGCTGTCAACCATTCAAACAGAAGAGTTTGAAAAATGTTTCCAAAAATGGAATCACAGGTGTGACAAATGTATTAAGTGTAATGGAGAGTACTTTGAAGGTGACAAGGTTGTTTTGTTAAAAAAAAAAATTAAATACATGGCTTTGAAAAAAAATTCCGTTTTTTGGGGGGTACCCTTGTATACATACATATATGTATGTGTGAAGGTAGTTAAAGTACTGTACTTGAGTTCCAATTCACAGAAACACAAGTTTATTTCAAACGAGACATGCTCAAACATGCCACTATAATCAGTGGATGGCTACAGATAAGTTTTCTCCGAAATACATTTGTCCCAGTCTGCTTAGGTTACCTTCATAAAAGGTCCAGTCAATGCAATGGCTTCCCAGCGGATGTGCTGGGCCACTTAATGTCAAAATAGAGAGGTTAGCTAAGAAGGTTATAGAAATTGTTTTTTGGGACCCCAAAGAAGTACTCTTGATAGATATTCTGAAGGGCAATCAAGGAGATTTATTATAAATAAGTTAAAAAAATTAAAAACTGCACTGGTGAGAAAAAGGCCACAAAAGTTGCTCCAAGGACACCCTCCCCCCACTCCCCCCCACGCTCCCTCACATCATGACAATACCCTGCTCATTCTTCAAGGGTAAGAAGAGCTGTCTGTGGTGGTGGAATGAAATTTCTTAATAGGGCTCTTCTACCTAAATGTTTGTAACTCCCACCAAATGAATAGGTGGGACTATGCATATAGGGCATGTGTAACACTAAAAGGGGGATTGGATTGGTCAGTTTTAGTTACCACCCCACTGGCTATGTAGATGGGCCATCGTTGAGGCTGGAAGAAAGCAACATCCTAGGTCCACTGAAAGAAAAGCCTTAAAAAAAATTAAAAAAAAAAAAAAAAGAAAAGCCTTAGAGGAACCAGAGACTGTGTCATAAGAGACTATGGAACAGAGCAAAGGAGCCACATTGGACCAGACAGCAAGGAAACTGTGAGCCAGAACAAAAGGACAGTGCAGAGACTATAAGACTGTGAGGCAGAGCAACAGGAGGGCTTCCTGACCACCACAGTGTCAGAGGTCAAAGGACCACGTGGCTGACAGGCTGAGAGAGAGACGTGGCTATTAGCTGAGGAGAGGCACTGATGTGGACCAACAACTGTGTTCGTACTGTTTACTAAACCTGGCTTGCAGTGTTCTGTTAACTTCTTCTGGTCAACCCACTAATTATGAGTATTGCCTTTGAGTTTGGTGTGACCATTGCAGTGAATTCTCTAACCCAACAGAGCAGAGTGACAGGAGAGGGACGGTTGGTGTGAGACTGGTAAAGAAAGATGGAGGTAGAGGCATGTCTGACTTCTGCTTCGTGGCTAGGTCAGGAGGTTACATATGGCTACCTCCACACCGCTTTCCACACTGTATCAGGAGAATTTTGTTTTGAAACCTTACCCCGCCCAACCTACAGCTCTGATAATGCTCTTTCAGACTTCATTTGTTCCCCAAACTCAAAGAACATTTAAAAGAAACATGACTGAAATCCCTCAAGCATATCAAAACAGCATAGTGTCAATTGAAGAATGCAAAATTCTTCAGGAAAGGGCCCAGAGAAATGGAAATGCTGCCTTCAGAAGTGTACAGATCTAGATGGGGAATATGTCAAGGAACAATAGCTTCACATTTTGGAATTTTATTAATAATTTCTGTAATTTTTCAGCAATAATTTTTGACTTATTCTCATCAATTCATCCACTTATTCTTTTAGAACAATCTGAAGATAAACACACTTCTTAGTAGAAAGGCTAGTATAAACTTACGATTTCTCAGCAACTGTAATTACCAAAAATATGCTTTAAAACTGAAATATTATCTCCAAATACCTTGTGAAATTAGAAATCAACACCTTACTTCCTTTCAGTTAATAAACATTAATCATCTACAACAGCCTTTCCAATACTCTTTCAATGAACTTTTCTTTCTTAGTTAAAAGTAACAAATATCCTAAAGCTGTATTTTCATAGAATTCCCAGTTGTTAGACATTGAATTCTTGAAAAATGATTCAGCTGAGGAAACCCTTGTAGCAATATTCACTATTCTTGTTACCGCTCAGAAATATTCATTTTCTAATTTCCGATAATTACATCTTACAAAAACAACTTTAAAATGAGAATTCTACAAATATGAATCAGGAAGCATTTTTGGTTTGCTTGTTCAGAAAAATACCTATTACAAAAACCCTAATAAACTAAGTTTTTCGTTTTCTAATTATATTTTGCTTTACCTTTTAATTTATTATTATATTGTTGGGATTCTAACTACAATAACAATTTTATTAAATAAAACAATTTTATTTATAAAAAACAATTTTCTTAAATTTATAAAATGCTATGGAGCATTTAAAAATTATTTTATTATAAAGACATTTCATTTTAGAAATTACTGTGTCAGATCTGAATGCAGTCTGATTTTAGAACCTTGAAAATTTGTTAGCGAAATGGGAAAAAAACAGTTTCCTCCAAAATAGTCTTCATTTGTGGACAACAATGGCAACCAGACTTTCATTCGAAAATTTTCAAATATGTAATCAAAGGTTATCTTGACAATCATTAGTATGTTGCATTGTAAGTAGGTATACTGGTAAGCAGTTTACATAAATGGCTAATTTGTATCTCCTGAAGAAACCTGTTTCTGTTGGAAAATCCAAGCAAAGCCCTTCTGGGGTTAACAAGGGAGAGAGGCATTCAGAACTGACCCTATGACACCATTTCTAATTCTACACTCCTTCTCTGTGACAGTATTGCATGTCTACACCATGTGCTGTGACTGCGAGTCCTCCCACCACAGAAGCATGTGGAGCACACTTCCTTGTCACACTGAAGCGGGGCTTGGCCAGACGGCACGTAGGATGTCAGCAGACGTGGTGTGAACAGAAGCTTGAAATGTAGGTGTGGATTTGGTCTACCTTCTTGAACGTCTGCCATCCGTCAGAAGACCTTCTTGTCATAGGCAGCTGTTCTCAATATGAGAAACCTGACCCTTCATTTAAGCCAAGTCACGGCAGTTTGGAGTCACTGCGTTTTTGCTAAACGACTACGAGTTTATTTGGTAAGGAGACTGCAGCCATGACGGATCAATAAGGGGTCCTAGATAAGATGGTCTTCCCAGATCTCTTGCAGAGTGGCCGACTCCACATAGCCTAAGAACCCGACAACTCTGTGTTTCTCTAGCTCCCTGTTTTTCCCTCCACACTCTCTTCTTTCCCAGAGGAAACTGACTGATTTCTTTCTCATCTACCAGCTGATGCCAGGGCTGCCCTGGCCAGAACCTGATGCAAGAGATGATGCTACCTGCATAGCCTGGGATCCTATGTGTCTATTCTTGGCTCCCAAAATCTGGAAGAAAGTGTCTCTGGGCTTCCCAGGTTCATGGCTATGCGTAGACCCTGAAAGTCATGGCTTTCTAGGTGGCTATCAAAGGCAAATTTCACTTGAAAATTTTGCCTGGAGCAACTTTCTCTTCTCCTCTACATTCTAAAAATGCAACCAATTTCATTTAACATGCCAGGAATCTATGGCCCCCTCTCACTTTCCTTTTAAAGCCTATGAAAATATTATGCAAATAAAAAAGGACAAGGCTGAGTATTCATGCAAGGTGTTATGTTCACATATTTTAAAAATGTTCTTCAATAAACACAAAATGCACTGGATAGACGATATCCAGGTTTCCGTATGCACACATCTTAGTTGAATCTAAGTTCTCACAGTAGTTTACTTTACTTAAAAGGATTGTTCTTCCCTCCACAGGACTAAAGAAAGGACAGTTCAGTGCACATAATTTCAGAAACAGATGGTAGCTCTGTCTCCATACCTGCTTTAGCAGAGTCCTGTTGGTTCCCAATTTATGCTGCTCAATACTTTTCCTCACATACATTTTTTCCACGGGAGTCAGGTCTTCTTTCATTAGTGCATGGAGTTCTTTCAATTGTTCACTTTCATTGTCTGAGCCAGAGTGCAAGCTAAAAAGAAAATTACATATGAGAACACCATCGTTTATTCTATTTTTGTAGCATCACAAAAGAGTGATGATTTTTCTAAATCAACCGATCAAAGACCATTTCATGTTTCTCAGAAGACAAATCTTGGCGAGTTATATAAGAGTATTTTACTTCTCTGAATATGGACATGCCGTGACTTAGAATTCAGTGTGCTTACCTGTAAGGTAAAATTGGCTTGGCGATCTTCCGAACACTCCCAACTCGGACAAATTTCTCAAATCCAAGACTAAGAAGCCTTGAAAGAAAACAAGTTTATGGTACATTAGATAAATTTTAGAAACTCAAAATGAAATGAGATGTGGAGGATTTTTAGCTATAGTATATACTCTTTGAAGGAAATAAAGTAAATTTATATTATGTTGAGGACCCATGAAATATTCATAAAATAGCAATGTTAGTATTTAGCACAGATAAAATTGCCCCAAAGACACAAACAATACAGCTAGTTGCTGTAGTGTCAACCCGGACCAATGGAGACCCCACGCGTGTCAGAGTGGAGCAGGGCTCCCCAGGTTTCCAACAGCTGGGTCTGGAGAACAAGACCACCAGGCCTTTCTTCAGCGCTAGAATGTCTAGCTTTTGTACAGCTCAGGGACTACTCACCAGTTGCCACTGAGCTGATTCCAACTCACAGCAGTTCTAATAGCTACCACATAATTAGTATTAACATTTAGCAGGAAGTGTTAGGCTCTTTAGCTCTGCAAGATAGTTCATGTACGAAAAGAGGACACCGATGCTCCAGCGGTGAGGTGATTTTGTTGAAGTCACATAGCTAATAAGTGGAGCAGCCAGGATTCAAAGCAGTCCATCCACCTTACCTTCAAAGGCGAGGATCATTCACCATCCTCCCCTCCCCTAATCAGGGCTTTGTGCAGAAGGAACTCATCTACCCTTCCTTCTTACTCAATATTGCTGCTCCAGACCTAACCTAGGCAGAGGAATTCAAGGAACAGCTAGCCCTCTACAACAGCATCTACCATCTCAAAATGGGAATAGAGAGAACAGGAAAAGTATTGAAAATGTCGTCGTCGTTGTTAGGTGCCATCAAGTCTGTTCCGACTCACAGAGGCGCCAAGAGCAGCAGAACAAAGCAGGAAAACCAGGCTTCCTAAAGTCCCTGGGGCACAAATGGCTCACTGCTGACGCCCGGCTATCCCAACCACTCAGTGGTGCCACACAAGAAAGGCTTGGTCTAGTAAGAAGTATGATTTCATGTAACATAAAAATAATACAGTCAAATATAAATACAATATTATCTTTATAGTCCATATATTTCCTACTACAAGTATTAACTTCTACAATGATAAATATCAAAGTTTATTTTTTAAAGAGCCTAGATTTAGAGATTGTTTCTCTTAATCAAACTTTATCATTTAGGTTAGAATCCAGAAAATCAAACTAGCATATTGGTAAAACATTATATAAGATTTTCTTTGCATTTTTAATAAAAGCATACATGATCACGAACATTTTATAACTATAAAACAGATTCCTACAAATGGATGCTTCTTACAAAAAATAAACAAGCAAAATAATTAATACTTTCCCATTACATATTTATACAAGCAGATGGATAAAAGATTAGCGTCTATCTGAAATTTGATTTAACCTCACTTAGATGGTAGTAGGCCTAAGAATCGGGGTGGGGTCACAGACAGGGCTTTATTACTCATGCCATAGCAAGGAACATACACAGCAAAGGAGTCTGAGCTGGGTTCTCTCAGGCCCCACCCCCCAGGTTCCAGGGGAGGGAGGTGCAGATGGATGCTTGCTCATGACACTCACACTGAGCTTGGGGGCCTACTGCTTTTATCATAAGTGACAAGCAAGCCTACTCTTTGTTCTGAGAGCAACAATATGCCATTCATAAAGTTGTTTGCTGTACGCACAACTCTTGAGAAATATCACAGCTAAAGCACAGCTAAAGGACTTGCATTCTTAGCATCCCATTAAGGATATTTTGGGTCCACAGGAATTACCTCCATCAACAATCCACCTCTCAACCCTACATGTTCATGGTTAAACTCAAATTTTCACATTCGTATTCCATACTAGTACCTATATTGCCAGGTTTGGTATTTTATTTTATCCTACTCATATTAAGGTTTTCTGGATGCTGGCAGAAGGCATGCGATTTCTGGTTCAGAGACAAAAGCCTTGGTTCTTTGCATACTCAGCAAGAATATTCAGTGTCCATGGTAGATTGCTTCTCTCGACAGTAACCTGAAAAACATTAACTTCTTATACTTGCTATACTTACCCAAGGAGTACTCTGTCAACAGCTACATTAGTAGAGGAAGAAATCAGAAGTTTCCATGGTTTTACGTTCCCAACTGTAGGAACGTCGCTCTTTTCAAATAGCTGTACAAAGAACAAAATCACTACCGCCAGCAAGTAACTCTTCCCTGCTCCAAAAACACCTAATTATTTTAAAGAGAAAAAAATTGAAACATTATAAATTCCTGAAAATACAAGCAGTAGTTCATGAATCTATCTCTCGCCGCCTTCCTTCATTTAATTCATTTATTTTAAGAGCATTAGTCGATCTCATCATGTGCTAACCACAAGAAGTAAACCGATAACCAAAGGACCTCCACCTTTACGGTGCATCCTGGAAGCTACACACAAGTGAAGAAGCAGTAACCAAAGGATGTGGTAAATGCCATTGCCAACGGGAGCATAGCAGGAAGACCAGCTCCTTGTGCTGTGTGAAGATAAAAGTGCTTCCGAAAGTTATCCAAACCTGAAAGAAAGGCTGTTCCAAACCGGCATGAGGAAGCACACTCTACAGCCAATAAACGGGAAAGGGACAGGGTTGACTAGCTGTCAGGGGACCAATGAGAAAAGTGCTTCTTGTACTGGCGAACATGTCGGAGTTTTACCTTAAAAGCCAAGGGAAGTCATTGAAGGATTTCACGTAATTTAGAAATTGGGTGAATCAATTTATCTACATTTAGAAAAACTATCTGGATGATAATACGGAAAAACCAAAGGTAAAGCAATTGGATGATCAATTGTGTGAGATAATTATAACCTTCATGCACTCTAAGATTTACTAAGCACCTCCCGTGTGCCCAGCATTGTTCTAAACTCTTTTTATCGCTAACTCATTTCATCATCCAAACCCTCTCCGGGAGATGCTATCATCGTCCCATCTACAAAGTAGAAAATTGGAACACGGAGATAAGTAAGCTGTCCAAGGTCACCGTTGTTGCTATTAGATACTGCTGAGCAGCCCCTGGCTCACGGCAATCCCACACACGAAAGGATCAGGCTGCAGTGATCCTAGGTTTTCAGTGGCTGGTCTTCAAAATTAGATTGCCAGGCTGTTCTTCTTAGTCCATTTAGTCTGGGAGCACTCTTGGATCCTGTTCTGCATCCTAGCAACACACACGCCTTTATTAACAGATGCCTCAGATGCAAGGATGGCGAGGCGCTGGCTAACGGTACAGTGGACATTTTCGGGAGAGACAGTCCCTGGACAAGGACATCACGCTTGTTAAAGTGGAGGGGCAGTGAAAAAGAGGAAGACCCTCGACAAGGTGGACTGACCCAGTGGCCGCAACAATGAGCTCAAACATAAGAACACTTGTGAGGCTGGTGCAGGACCTGGCGGTGTTCCATTTTGTTATACACAGGGTCACTATGAGTAAGAACTGACTCAATGGCACCTAACAATTCCTATTACAGATGGGTGATGGCTATGCTTGAAGTGCACTAGCTGGGAATCAAGCCTATATCTCTGCATAGGTAAGGATTCCTCCACTGGACCACAGTGCTCTTGTCCAAGACCATACAGCTGAAAAATGAGAAATCAAGGATATAAATCCAGTATTCTACATTAGAGCCCATATTCTTACTCACTGGGCTACACAGAGGCATGATAAGGGCATGGATTGAGATGATACGTGTACAGGAGTACTGATAAAAATAGAAAGGACACAAGTCAGTGATTGATCTGACGGCAGCAAATAAACAGGAAGACAGGCAGAAAGAGGATTAAGAGAAAATTACCTAAGCTAGCAAGAAGGAAAATCTAGACACATTTGTAGGTATCCAGCTTGTTCTACAGGGTGGACTTAACGAAATTCCTTAAAATAGTAGCAAAAGTAGGGCCAACTTTAGGGATGGAAGTCTGCGAGAAAATGGGACAAGTGCTGACTGGAAGTTAAAGTATATATCCTGGTGGGCACATCAGAGGGATAAGATATGCTTGTCTTAGACTAAGATCATTCTAGCCTCAAGATCCAGTGAAGGCACTTTCATGAAATGTGATGAGACTGAACAAAGGCCTGGATACAGATGAGATCCGACTGCTCAGTGGGTTTATTTAGAATAAAAGGGGCCAAGAAGGGACTATGGAGGAAAGAGGATGGATATTTAAGAGATCAGTGAACCAAATAAGAAGAAAATATGAACTAGATAGACAATGAGTACATCACATTCTTCCATGTGGATTAGGGAAGTAAAAGAGAGTAGTCAGCAGAAAAAGTACAAGTGAGCTAAAGTAAGTTAAATGTTGAGAATAGTAAGAACTTAAGCACAAGGCATTGTATTAGTCTGAGGTAGACCCTGACAACAAACCTTTAGAAATAGATGGGGGATAAAAACTTGTAAACAAACAACTCTAGGAATTCTCATGTATGAACGACTTTTAAAGTGGGCTTTGCTTTGAAGGGAAGGAAATAGATTAATCAATGGGTAGAGATGATATAGATTTGATGTTGGCTATTATTAGGTAAAGCTAGGAGAGACCTAAGTATGTATGCTTATAGGTTAGGAAAAAGGGAGCGTGGAGAAATTTAAGCAGAGAGAAGCTGCTGACAGATCAGAGAGGTGACAGGATCTAGATGGAGGTATTAGCTCTGAAAGGAGGAAGTAGAGACCCTTTCCTGGGACAGAACTGAAAGAAGTTAAGAATGGTCCAAATCTAGCTCAGTTGGGAAAAGAGGGCAGGAGGTTGAAGGGGATTTCTGTTAGGAACTCCATCTCCTATTTTAAAAGCCAGATCAGTTCAGCCTCAGGGATGGAGGGGGGCAACAGCAAGGATGAGGACATGAGAGAATACAAGTCTGGAATAGCTTCTGTGAAGGAGGGAAGAGTGAGCTAGCGAAGAATTAATAAAAGATTGTGCTGATCAGAGTTGAAGTCGAATAGAGCAACCCGTAGATGTCTAGATCAAACCTGGATATGTTGCCTAATGTTATGCAAATGCTGCTAATTCTCTTTAGGAAGGACAGATCTGATCTCAGCTCAGGTAACAGTTTACTAAAGTGAGTTCTGGTTGAAAAAGTCTGCTTAAGAGTTATTCTGGAGGAGGGCAATGAATGTACAAATGCACTTTATACAATTGATGTGTGTATGGATTGTGATAAGAGTTGTATGAGCCCCTAATAAAATGATTAAAAAAAAGAGCTATTCTGGAGCCTTAACTAGGAAATTGCATAGAAGCAAACTTACCTAAAAGTTTATGATAGTTATTTTCTTTCTTGCTTCTTACTTACCGTGTATGATCCTGATGGGGAGCCGTTCCTCTGCGTCAGCACTTTCCGGTGATGCCATCATCTGAGCTATCTGAATCAGGGCTGCCGCTTGGTCTTTGTTTAGCTTGTGTGCCTGAATCAATTCACTAGCTAACTGCAGTGCTGTTCCTGGGCTTAGTTCAAGTTTTGTGTTGGTATTGGTGAAGGCTGGGGGACTGAAAAATTTTTTATTGATTCTCTTGTTGCTAACTGTAGTTGGTGGTGGTGAAGACCTGGGGGAAAAGGTCAGAAAAACTGAGGAACTTTTGAAATAGGTTAATAAAACTACTCCTATCAAGCTTTACTTTATAAGCCTCACAGAAAACAATTTTTCAAGGGCACAAATGGATACTTCGTCCAACTTTGAGGATAGGATAGGAGAGAATTAACATTTGTTGAATATCTATGGTCTGCTTGCACAATGCCAATCATTTTATACACTAGTTGATGTAATCTTCCCAACACTATGACGTAGTCAATTATCCCAAACAGAGGTACAGAGATGTCCATTTGTTTCTTCTCCCCAAAGCACAAAACTAATAAGTAGTCTATAACACAAAACTGACTTGGATAATCAACACTCTTTCAATTTTAGGTAAAGCTACATTAAATAGTTGGTTTTACTGGTATTTTTTAAAAAACTGAATTAATTTCAAAGTGAACAAATAACAGTGGACTCATAAGGAAATTTATCTTTTCATACAGGTCTTCATTATGGAGAGAAAAATAAAACAAGATATATAATAACATCTCAAACTATAAAACACACTTGATCTATTGTTTAAATGCACTTATGTAATAGCACTTACGCATTTTTGAAGAGGGATATGCTATGTGGGACATTTAAAGAGAAATACAGTCATATAGTCAAACCTACTGCTATTGAGTCAATCCCGACTTGCAGAGTCCCTCCCGGACAAAGTAGAACAGCCCCACCAGGTTTCTGAGGTTCTAATCCTTACCACAGTAGACAGACTCTTCTCTCTCCTGAGGAGCAGCTGGTGGATTCGATAGCCCAGCATGTAACTCAGTATGCCACCAGGTTTTATTAAAATTAATATTGAGATAAACACTAGATTCAAGTCATAAATTGCTTTTAAATGTTATTGATGGTATGAAAATTCAGATGCATATGAAATAAAATCAGAAATCCCAAGATCCTTAAGAAATTATCTCTTGACAAAGGGAAATCCTTTGCAGTAACATGTACTAGCTTTAAAAATCACAATAACCAAAAAGGTTATTGTTAACATTTATGTAATGTGCCTTTATTGTATTTGTTTTTAATTTTTTTGCCTTTATTGTATCTTTATATTCACTGACTTACATTGTTAGTAGATGCTGTGTTAGAGGTAGAGTAGCTGGATTGAAGTAGTTCTGAATGTTTCTCAAAGTGGTCAGCTCTGTGCTAGCATTACAAACCAGCAGTGCATGGACCACCACTGTGGAAGGAACACAGAAAATAAGCATTCAGTGTCAATAAAATGAACCTTTAAAAAAAATCTCAGTATTCAGTATCAATATAACCCAGAGTTCAGCTGCTAAATTAATTACATGACATAAAAAAAACCCTTTAACACATGCAGAGGTCCGCAAATGTTTACTCATTAAAGTACCATACTACTTGCTCACTCAGTTTATATACTGACAATTATAACTACATAACTAACATTAGGCCTCCAAACATCAGTAAAAGACTAAGAACAACTCTTGTTCAGTTCAAAAAATGTGGTCATGCTGCTGAACTGCCCATACAGAAATTGTTAAACTGGTATGTTTTGCTGGGTATATCCTCAATAAGAAAAATAAAATCCACTTTAAAAAAGAACAATTGTTTGGGGTTGGTACACAGTGACATTGCATGAGATCAATAGTTCTACTTTAATCAGTAAACCAACTTGGATTGTGTTAACTGTATCTGTACAAGTTTTGTATAAAGGTATATAATTTTCTTATGTTTCTACTTCAATTATTTTACAGAACTACATAAAAAACAGAAAATTAGAATGCTGATATTAGTAAGGAAATAATTTAGACAATTATGAAAATAAATACAAGAAAAGTGACAAATATTCCCTTAATTAGAGTTTTATAGGACTCAAGCTATTGACTATTTATTTAGTTAAGAAACAAAGACCAAAAGTTACAAAAAATGCAATACTACAAATGTCATTAACCACTGCATTTTAGCTAAGAGCCAAATTTCACCATAAAAATTTATTCAAAAATGCATAGAAGTGTAGATTTGTAGAACTGAATATGTATTTAATGCACTAAAATTATTTTGTTAAGAACAAAATAAGGTTTTTAGCCTACATATTAAGAATTTCTCAAAAAAGATGATTAAAACAAAACAAAAAAGCACTCTTCCTCAACCTTCTGTACAATATCTCATAGAATCAAATAAGAACTTCTCAATTTTTGTGAATTAAATGTACATTCAAGTTAACCAAAGGAATTAGACCTTGAAAAAAAGATTACTTGAGAAAATTCTTATTTATATTTTTAAGTAATCTAGTGTAGATTATGTAAAGTTCAACTTTAAAAAATTAGTAAAGATTAAAAATTTTATTAGGTTGTTAGCTCTCTGGGACTTGAGCTGCAAAGATGTTTATATTTTCAACTTTCATGAACATTTCAGGAGTATAAGCATTGTGTGAATGCTTTTTAAATTTCTTGCTCTCAACAGGTAACTTTACACACAATTAGCATCTCTGCTCACTGTACATCCTATGTCTATCATCTTTTGAAATATAAATTAATATAGGCCTATTGATACTTACTATTGGTGGGCCAATTAGATGGAAAATAGCCTTTCAGGGGTAGTAGCTCTAGCTCATTGAGAGATGATGGTCCGAAGAAAGCACTGCATGCAATAAAAGTATCCAGTTCAAAGTCCAAGGTTTTAGAAACCACCCAAAGATCATCTGAAAAAGATAAGCATTTTTAAAGGAATCGGAACAACGCTGAACCTAAAGCTAAATCTGGATATCTTCGGTGCTTGGTCCAAATTTCTTCTCAAGGAAAAAAAGCAACAATCTAATAAAAAAATGAGTGGACTTAGACATTTCAAATCCAAAGACTATGAACCAAACACAGGAAAAGATGCTGGATGTCATTAGCTATTAAGGAACGGCAAATCAAAACCACAATCAGATACCATGTCACCCCGACTACTGTGGTGATCAAAAGGATGGAAAATACTAAGTGTTGGTGAGCCTGTGGAGAAACAGCCCCTCTCATTCATTGTCAGTGGACTGTAACCTATCGCATCTGTTGTGAAAAACAGTTAAGCAGGTCCTCAAAAAGTCCAACATAGCACTACCATCCACCCGTCAATATGACTCTTCAGCATATATCCAAAATATTTTAAAGCAATGCCACAAATGACACATGTACATTGCAGCACTGTTCACAATAGTCAAAAAGCAGAAAGGACCAAAATGATGAATGGATAAACAAAAAGTGGTATATACATAGAAGGCAATATTACCCAGGCACAACAAGGAATGAAATCATGGAAATGATACATGCCCCCAAATAGGTGAACTTAAAGGGCATAATGGTTAATGAAATACTATATTTTTCACAAATAACACCTTTGTAAAAAAAATGCACAGATAACATAAAATTGTTGGAAACAAAAACTTTGTGTAAAAAAGTTCTGGCTTAATGTGCTCATTGCATGTCTCATGACACTTCCAGAAGTAAACTCACCCTTATTCAATAATCCAAAAATATTTCTTTTGATCATAATTTGTATAATTGGTCAAAAAGTCATGGAGTTTGGAAATCAGAAAATAAATAACTGACACGGTGTTTGCTCTGTGGCAGTTGGCAGTAGTGGTTACTTGTAACCAGTCTGTGCCGCGTATGTCAGAGAAAGGCGGCCTGTCGTGTGGATGGCTGTAGGTGGGTCTACCACAGCTTGAGCAGAGCTGGTCCTGTGGTGTACAGGGACCACTGACTATGTGCACCCAATTTCCCTGGGCAGGGTGATGGTGAGGGTGAAGGCGTACAATGTCCTGGTTCGTGGATCCCCAAGTAGCCAGTTGATTAATCTCATATGAGCAAGGACACACTACTGTTCGGCACCCTCAGCTCTCATGTCCACCCTGTGGTGTTTGCACTGGCAGGAGGGTCAAATGGCCCAATCACAGTGGCCCCACTACTAGCAAGTCAATTTTAACCCATAGCTACCCTAATAGGACAGAATAGAACTACCCTTTTGGGTTTCCAAGACTTTAAATCTTTAAGGGAGCAGGCAGCCTCATCTTTCCCTCAGAGCTTCTGCCGGGTTCAAACTGCTGACCTTGTGGTTTAACAACTCAGTGGGTAACCCAACAAGCCACCATGGCTCCTTTAAAAAAAAAAGCTAATACACTATGACTCACAGGGCTTATCCATAATATATACGGATGTTTTCATATTAGAAAATCTATTCATATACTTGAACTTAACAAATCTAAAAAGAAATAGCCTATAATCATCTAAAGATATAAAAATAAATAAATAAAATTCAATACTAATTCCTGATAAAAGGTATCCTGGCTAAGAAGAAATGAGCCTTGGTGGTGCAGTGGTTTATGCATTTACCTGCTAACCACAAGGTCAGCAGTTCAACCCCTAGTTAGTTCTGTGAGAGAAAGATGTCTGCCCCTGTAAAGATTGAAAGCCTCAGAAACCCAAAGGGGCAGGTCTACTCTGTGCTGGAGGGTCCTGGTGGGTTGGAGTTCACTTTATAAGTTTCTTGCTTTCATCAGCTAACCTTACACACCATTAGCAGCTCTGCTCACTGTACATCCTATGTGTGACCGCCATCACCAGTTAAGCTCCTCATCGTAGTGGAGCTTCCCATCAATATAGTTTAAAACAAAGGAAATGAAGAATAAAGATTGAAAAAAAGAGAACAAAACTTTACCGGTGACATGATTATTTAGAAAACCTGAAAAACCTACAGATAAGTTACTAGGATTAATAAGAAATTTAGCAAAATGGCTCGGTTTACAGTTTTTTAATATATACTAGCAAAGAATATGGGAAATCTTTTTTGCACCTAATAGCTTTTGGGGGAAAAAACCCTTTATAAACAAACAAACAAAAACACCAATTTTTATACTAAAAAAAAAGAGAATTCCCCAAACACACATGATTAGAGCGCAGCATTCTCAAATTGAGCAGATAATGAAAGAAGTATCAATAGCTGTCATATTTTTTCAGTTTATTTTAGATATTAGGTTGGAGTACAATTGAACCAATATACTTATTTTTATGATGCTAAGAAGTTGATGTAATACTTTTAGCAAACATTTTTTGCACCCTTTTAATAAAGTTTAAAACAGCTTAAATTGTAAACTGTGCTTTACTATACAGTAATATTCAATATATTGTTGTTGTTAAATACCATTAAATTAGTTCTGACTGATAGCCACTTTCTGCACAGCACTGCCTGGTCCTGCTCCATCCTCACAATCATTGCTATATTTGAACCCATGTGGCAGCCCTGGGTTAATTCATTTCCTCTTTTCCCAGCTCTCTGTCAAGGGACTGGTCCTCTGATAACTTACTTAAAGTAAGCAAGCAAGATAAAGTCTCGCTGTCCTTACTTCTAAGGAGCAGTCTAGCTGTTCTTTTTCCAAGCCAGATTTGTTCATGGTCCCTGGTATAGTTAACATGCTTCAGCACCAAAATTCAAAGACATCGATTCTTCTTCATGCAGTCTTTCTTATGCATTTGACAACTATACTACAATCAAATTGTATTTTTAAAAGTTTCTTTGCCATTTAGACTGTCACCAATGTGCTCAGAGCAACTTACTTTTGCTGTAAGCTGAAGCACTTTCCTTCCTACTCAGCTTAAGATACAGTTTGCTTTTAGGTTCATTATCAAACTCAGGATATATAGCAGTAAACTTTTTTAGTTTGCTATACCGGTTCCTCTGGAAATCATATCCTTTTCTGGAGAAAAAAAAAAAAAGCAAACGTAAACATTATGGTGCTGGCATTTTTTCATCATTAATATACAGCTTGAAAAGTAAAGAACATAATATGTGAATGTGTATATACTTTAAGACACACAAAATGTACTCTACTACACACAAAATGTACTCTACAGGACCAACCTTCACCTTCACTAAACTGCCATCAGCTTTAAAGGAAACTAAAATAGGCAAAGGACCTAAAAGATTAGTTAGTTCAATTTACAGAACTGTAAAATGGAAGAACAGATTCTATTACCTCCATATCTTATTGTATAACTCTGATGATTAAAATTTAAAAATACATGTAAACTATTTAGAAGAATAAATGGCACTAAAAATAGGTTACTATTATTATTAAATTATACATACAAGGTCGCCAGTGTCAAGAAGTTCACAGAAAAATGGCAGTTTTAATTCCATTTTTCCATTAATTTTTTTGGAGACCCCTCATATTTATTTCATCTTTGCATAATTCCACTTTTAAAATACACAACAAACCCGCTCTCAAAAAGCAGCTTTCTATTATCTTATAAGCTCCATGGCTCAGGCTTGCAAATGACCCCATATCTTTTATTCCACACTGCTAAATTCTATAGTTTTGGGGGTAAGGTTTCCCTCAAGATTTGGAAAGAACAGCCCTGACTATAAATAAAAATAGTTAGAAAAATAGCATTCCCGGCAGTTACCCCGATATTACAGATGCTGCCTGGTGTTTAGATAGGACTACAAAATGGATTTAAACAGTCCTTTGTAAGATCATGCATGGCAAAGTCTGGGGAGAAGTACACTGAGATTAGTCCTAAACTCATTAACCACAGGCAATTATTTGGTGCCGCAAATCATACCTCACCAAAAGCTGGCATTCCTCATACAGCGGTATATTCTGACTTCTTAAATACAAGCCAATACTCTTGACGTCAGTTAAAACCAGGCCGGGCCGAGATTGTGCCGGTGTCAAGCCTGTAGACACTTCTTCAAACCATTTGAAAAATTTACATCGGTCATTTTTGGGTCCATCACATGTGTAAAAGAGACGGCCCTAACAGGGAAAAAAAAGGGGTACTAAAATTTAGTGAGAAAGTTTTTTTCATTGCTCTACTGTTTTGTATGATGTCTGTTGAGGTTTTTATAAATATGGCTTTGCCGTTATGCTGCTGCTGTTGTTAGTTGCTGTCAGTCAGTTCCGACTCAGTGACCCTGTGAATGCCAGAAGGAAACACTGCCTGTTCTGCACCACCCTTACAATTGTCCTTATATTTGAGTCCATTGTTGCAGTTATATATTCCAATATATTGGTCACGATAGTTTACTTTTATTAATAACTTAAATATTAAATTAAAATGTAAAGCAACGTTTCTATTATAAAATAAATTCATTTTTAGAGAAAGCATAGTTCAAAAATAAAACATTGTTTTTCTTATTAAAACTGTTCAAAGTTTTCAATCTGAAAACAACTCAGAAACTAAGCAACATACATTTCTTTGTAGTCTCTTTTCCTCACCAAACACACACGAGAGAGAAAGTCATGGCATATTATATTCTTTTTTAAAACAAAACTCAAATAATGATACATTTTCTACTTTATCACTAAACCCTTATAGCCAACTAAATAATCTTAAACAATAATTAAAACCCTTCTAGCTAGTATATCACACTTCATTCTATTTTTATACTTCAAGTTATGAATTCTTGCTGTGGTAATTAAATTTAAATCTAAGTGTATATAATTAATAAGATATAACAAAAAAATTACTATTGAGTTAATTCTAACTCATAGCAATGCTACAGGACAGCACAGACTGCCCTTTTAAGTTTCTGAGACTGTAAACCTTTCCCAAAGCAGAAAGACTTATCTTTTTCCACCAGAGCAACTGGTGGAGTTGATCTGTTAATTGTGTAATCTACTACATCACCAGGGCTCCTTAATATTATATAAAGAAATGAACCATGCAGACAGTAGAGGAAAACTGTATAATATGTACAAGTACAATTGTGCAAATGAGCACAAACCATTCATTTTTTATTATATTTTATATTTACCATAACATATATTACTAATCTGACATCTTCCACAATATGTTGTCAGTACTACTAATTGAGTCACTTGCTTTTCTATTTCTCTGTCCTTACCTGTTATCATATTGAGGCTAACTCAGCCTTCACATCCTACCTTGTCCATTACAGCACGGGCAGTTCAAGGATTATGAAGTCACTCATCTTTTGCCCACACTGTGAAACCATTGAATCAACCGCTATTCCCCACCAACTCTTCAACACACTCACCTTCACTTGCTGCACATGCACAGTGAAAAGACCTCAAGTCTTTTTGACACTAAATAAAACTTTTATGCACTTGTCCCCACTTATCTAGCAATTTGACTTAAAAACACACTTATGAATGGATCTTTTCCATAAACTGAGGAGAGCTTGGAGTATATTAAATTTGGGTATCTGCCTCCAGAACTTCTTTGTTGTAAGTTTGTAAAAGACTTGAAGGTTGTGTTGCTTTTACTGTTGTTGAGAGCTGGTGGAGACACCTAACAATGACTACTTGTACATGCAGCAACATTCATTACGGTCTTCAAACGGCGCAGCCATTTTCACCCTACTCTTCACTAGTTCCTCTCCTGTTAACATGAGCCTTTCCCTTTAAGCTGACCTTTGATTTGCTGTTAACACACACACACACATATATATGACACGTGATAGATAGCTTGTAATGTTCATAGACATTTTTAAGAGCTTCTTATTATGAGTTCGGTGGAGGTTTGCAGAGATCAGCAGATCCAATTCGGGACTCCACACACATCTTGTTCCGTCACATGCCATTATGTATCCTCAACGTGCCATGATTTATCCTGCTCCATCCCTGTGTCTCCCCTCTCCATCCCTCTCGTCCTAGCCCTCACAACTGGTCCTTGAGTCCATGCTACCTTCTCATTTGAAATGGTTGATTGGTCGAACATGCAGTTGAGTTCGGTTCCAGACCAGGCTGTTCTACTGCACACGGGGTTGCTATGTGTTGGAACGGACTCGAAGGCACCTCACAGCGATAACAACAATGCCGCAAAGAGGGGACTCTGAATCAAGACTCACTCGTTAGTAAAGCGAATCACTGGAAGTAAACAGTGAAATAATGACAATGATGACTCATTGTGAGAAGCACACCCAGAGTCACAGAACAGATCGTACAGAAATTGTTCAATGGGAACTTCATTTGCTGTGTAAACTTGCAATACAATAAAATACGACTTAAAAAAAAAAGACTCCTCGCTTAATTTAAGTATGCCACAAGGCAAAGGGCCCTGAGTCAGTACTGTGGGCTAGGGGCGGGGAGAAGGAACAATACCTTGTTTGGACCTTCCTTTTTCACCATGATGAGTTTTGCAGGTTGGTGATGATGACAGAATGGCACATTGCTTTCTACGTGTTTTTGGTTCTCCTCCTTTGAAGACGTGTAAAAGGATATGTCAACTTTTGAAAGAGCTTTGTGCAATCTTTGTGACAATGCAAACAGCAATATATTCAGATGTTCTACAAAGAAACAAAAAATTAGGGTTAAATGTAAGCATTTCACGCTTGTGTCACATTAAAGCAGCCTTTCAACAGTCTATTATGATAATAGTATACTAATACGCACTCTTTAGAAGGCAAGTTTTGCCTGTGTGCAGCAGATCACACCATAAACAGGAGTTAAACAGTGATGGGGTCTGTTGAAAAGGTACAGGGTTTGGGGGTGAGGGTTGTTATGAACTGAACTGTGTGCCCCTAAAAGATATGTTCCTGGGTTGCACAGTGGCTAAGTACTATAAAGAATACAGCTTTTTCAGTGTTAAGTGCGGTTCTAGTCTGTCTTACAAGGTTTTTATGAGTCAGAGTAGACTCAAGAGCAATGGGTGCAACGAATGTGTTTACGAGTTGAATTGTGTCCCTAAAAAGGATAGGGTAAAGTCTTAGTTCCTGACCTTGCGAGGGTGATCTTGTTTGGGGAAGTAGAGTTTTCTCTGACGACATTGCCAGTTAGACACACTAGGGTAGGGTGTGAATACTAGGGTATCTAAGAGATATCTTCTAAAAGGGGAGAACACACATAAGGAGGGAGTCACACACACACACACACACACACACACACACACACACACACACAGGCAAAGTCATGTGATAATGAAATAAATGCATTAATGACCAGCAAAGTAAGGCCAAGGACTATTAGCTGCCACCGGAATCTAGAAAAGAATCATGGAACTGTTTTTTCTCAAAGCACAAAGAGGGAAACAACCAGATCAACACCCTAGTTTGTGTTTCTAGCCTCTAGAAGTGAGAAAATAATCTCTGTTCTTTAGAGCCATCCACCTGTGATGTCTTAGTACAGTAACCGCAGGAAACTAAATGGATGAAACGGTTGGGAAGTACACAGCAACTGTGGATGAATAACACTAGAAACATACCAAGTACCATCAAATTGTGTACTATAAAAATGCTTACATTATCAACTTGAAACACAGGGAACCCAGGATAGATGACTTCTTCAGGACCAGTGGTGAGAGGGGCGAGGCCTGGAGGGTGAAGGTAATGCAGGGTAGAAAGGGGGAACCAATGACAAGAATCTAAGTATAGCCTCCTCCCTGGGGAATGGACAGCAGAGAAGAGGGCGGAGGGAGACGTCGGACAGGGTAACTTATGACAAATCTATAATAATTATGAATTATGAAGGGTTCAGGAGGGAGGGGGGAGTGGGGAAAGAAGGGGAAAACGAGCAAACGATATTGAGGGCTAAAGTAGAGGGCAAATGTGAGATTGAGGAGGACAACAGGTGTACATAGGTGCTTGACTCAATGGATGTATGTATGGACTGTGATAAGAAATGTACGAGCCCTCGATAAAATAATTAAAAAAAAGAATAATGAGGGTAACAAATGTACAAATGTGCTTTACACAATTGATGTATGTATGGATTGTGATGAGTTGTATGAGCCCCCAATAAAACATTTTTTTAAAATGCTCACATTATCATTTACCTACTAAGAAATAAAATAAAACAATCACTTAATTTAAAAACTTTCCACTCAATTTAGCAAAGCTGTTTGTAATAAATACTTCTAATTAAGAAAAAAAACTGTAATCTTTAAAACATAATGCTGTCATTTTCCACTTTTAAAACTGAATTGTGGCCTGAAATTAGAATTAAAGTTATTGTCAAAAATAGGAGCAAACCTATGGAAAATAATAAATCCCACCTGGAAGATATAATATGAAAATGCACAATATATTGCACATTTTAACAGCTATACTACTTATTATGAAGCTGTAATCAATCAAAATAAAAAGATAACAGTCATACCTATGAGGCAAGATGTAAATATCTGCTTATAATGAGCAGGAGACTGAAAAACAGCTGGTATGTGAATTTGCCTCTGGGGAAGATAAGCAGATTTTATTTTCTGTCCACTTGGGAACAGTAGCTCGGAGGCATTTAACCCCTGAAAAGGAGTAATTCAAGTAATTATAACAGATCCAGGAGAAATACCATTTACTAATAAGTAAATTGTTTTCTGTAGGCATGTTTAATAAAAATATACTAATTGTTGTTTGATTTTTAGAATCCTTGAAAACTATTTTCTAATTTCAAATGAGAAACTAAGTATAGCAAGAAAGACTATGCACAGCATTCTTATTTCTAAAAGAGACTATCTTTTGTTAGTCTTCCTCTTACTAAGTTTTAAGATATTCTTTTGCTGTGGAAAACTTAACTAGGGAAAATAACAAATGTGCATGAGTGCAATAAAGCAAATGTGAATTAAAAAAATAAAGATATGATTGAATCATTACATTTCTCTATTTCTGATTATGACTGTAGGAACGATTTTCAGAGGGTAATAAGTTGCCCTTTCACCCTAGTAATAATCTGATCAGCAAAACTAAGCTAATAGTGAGAAATGAAAACAATCATAGTAAAATGAGTAAAAGTACTGGTGGAAAGAGACATTGGAGATTCAATTTATTAAGTACCTATTATAAGCTAGCCACAATACCAAATACTTTCAAATATACAATTTCAGTTAATGTTCACAACTACTAGGAAAGAGTTGATGATGTAACTGCAGTTAGAGTTCTATGTCTACGCCTGTGCTCCCAGGGTACAGTCATTATTCCTATACACTTTGGTAATTCTTCTGTTGAAATTCACACAATAACTATTAGAAAAAAATGTACCAAGATGTACATTTTCTCACCTGTACATCTCCTGTTACACTGCGGTAGTAGTGGGCTGACTCTCCTAACACATTCTGAATTTCTTCAGTCTTGGGAGTCTGCACTAAATTCAGAGAAAAGGCTCCTTTTCTGGAAACCAAAGGATGGGTGCTAACATCCTGCTGCTGTTGATAGAGCATGCCTTTTATCCTTTGCAAACACACAGAGGCCTGAGAGCGTTTATGCCCAGCATCTCTCCGCCTTTCGCCCAGGTCACTAAAATGCGTTCCAGGAACAGTCTTGGCAAAGGAGACGTCATTTAGGTTCTTACCAACTTTGTGCAGAGTAGTCGAGTTACACTGGGGTATGTTCTGATATTTCAGCCACTTGCTTTGGGAAGAAATATTACTGAGAAGTGAAAGACTCCCTGGGGTCTCTTCCCCAGAGTTTTCAAAGAAAAAAGCCTCACTTCGGTCCTGAGACTCAAAGCTAGAAGACAGAAATGTTGACTCATCATGCACGTTGCACAAAGGGGAATCAGAAGTCGCTGGCATGTCACAGCTGATCACATTTGAGTAAGAATCCATCTTGGGGGGCCCATCAGCAGGAGGCAAAGTAATGAGTGGAACTTGGGTTCTACTTACTAATGGAAACGTTTGATGGTTCCTCTTCTCCAGAAAATTTACCTTTTTCGTTCCTGAAAGGAAACTAGATGTTAGTTACTTAAGAATGTGCTATCAGACATGAAAATATAATAATAATTTATATCAAAAAATTTATAAATTATCAAGGGTTCATGGGGAAGTGGGGAGCGGGGAGGGAGGAGAAAAAATGAGGAGCTGATGACAGGGGCTTAAGTGGAGAGCAAATGTTTTGAGAATGACGAGGGTAATGAATGTACAAATGTGCTTTATACAATTGATGTATGTATGGATTGTGATAAGAGTTGTACGAGCCCCCAATAAAATGATTTAAAAAAAAAAAAAGAATGTGCTATATCAGTCACTGAGTGAAGTGTTGGGCTACTCAGCCAAAGTTCAGCACTTTGAGAGCCTCCCAGCTGCTTCATGGGAGAAATGTGAGGCTTCCCTAAAGATTTCCCCCTAGAAACCCCATGGGGAAGTTCGTGTCTGTCCTACAAAGTGGCTATGATTAAGAATTGGTTCAATTGGCAAGAGGTTTGATTTTGTCGGTTTATATAAATAAAGAGCAATTTTTTACAAACATATACTCAGATTAGCTCCCTTACTGCTAGCTCACTCAAAAAACTCACTGCAATAGAGTTGATGCTGACTCATAGCAACCTTTAGGACAGGGTAGAAATGCATCAAAGGGCTTTACCAACCTACAGAACAGGCAAAACATACTCGAGAACCATCTATCTGAAAAGAGATTACTCTCCAGAGTACATAAAGAACTCCTACAGCTGAACAATGAAAAGACAAACAACTAAATTAAAAATGAACAATGGACTAAATATTTTTTTCCAAAAAAAGACACATGCCAATAAGCACATGAATATATGTTCACTAAGGAAATGTAATGTAGTAAAAGCCACAAGGAGATAGCACTTCACATCCATTAGGATGGCTAGTACCAAAAGAGACTCTGGAAAATAACAGGGTTAGAGAGGATGTTGAGGAATCAGAACACTCACTGAATGCTAGTGAGAATGTAAAGTGATGTGGAAAACAGAATTACCATAAGACCCAGCGATTCCATATCTAAATACATGGCCCAAAGAATTGAAAGAGACTCAAACAGTTATTTGTACACTACTGCTCATTGCAACAGTATTCACAATAGATGGAATCATTATAGAAGGTATCAAATTCACAAAAGAGGGAATCAATCCAAGTGACCGTGAACAAAAGAATCAATAAACAAAATGTGGTGTGTCCTTACAATGGAATGCTATTTGGACAGACCAAGATGAAGTACTGATACACACTAAAATATGAATGAAAAAGACAGTGCTAAGTGAAAAAGCTAGATCCCAATTACGTGAAATAGATGCAGTAGGGAAATACATAACGATAACAGTCTATTAAGGTAACCAGATGCTTGGGGGGTGGGGGGATGGCAGGATGAGTTATTGTTAAAAGAGCATTGAGTTTCTGTTTGGGGTAATTAAAAACTTTTAGAAATAATTAATGCTGATAGTTGCACAAATTGGTTATGTTTTACAACAATGACAATTATTATCCTGGCCAAAGTTATAACATTTGTTATTTAAAACATTGCACTGAACTCCTTGTAGACTATTCTTAAAAGAAATAGACTTGCAGTCTAGTCCAAAAAAAAGGTAGTCATGCTGATTCTAAAGTATAGACCCACTCATATAACTCCTTTACTCAAAACTCTCCAATAAGTATTACCTCTCCTAGAATATACCCAATTCCTCCCATACTGAAGCTCCAATGTTCCTCTTCCTTACCCTCTTGCCTTCCAGACTATATCCACTAAGTCGTCTCCAACTGGACAACCATTCACATTAAAAAGTTGTTTGTTTGATATCATCCACCCAGCATCACATGCATTGACCTACAGTTTTTTCACTCACCTAACATAACTTCATAATTAAGGAGCTATACTAGTGAGCTTGTAAAAGAGAAGAAAAGAAAGTGAGCAGATGGGATGCTTATACTTATTAAAGCATGACATGACTCTAAGAGACATACAATATGTTTTCATATGAAAACAGAGGGCTGGAAATGGCCAGGGTGGTAGCAGCAGTTTAAGAGCTTCCTAATATTGTTGGAGTCCTGGTGGCACAGTGGATTACAAGTTCAGCTGCTAACAAAAACATTGGCGGTTCAAACCCACCAGCCACTCCAAAGGAGAAAGGTGAGGCTATTTGCTCCTGTAAAGATTTAGTCTGGGAAACCCTTGAGCTGTTCTACTCTACCCTACAGGGTCTCTGTAAGTCAGACTCAAGTTGAAAGCAGTCAGCTTAGAGAGCCAGCAGGCGTCATTAGACGGTGCAAATGGTTAAGATGTACAGCTGCTAACAGAAAGCTTAAAGGTTCAAGTCTACCCAAAGGCACTGGAAGAAAGGCCTGACAATCTACTTCTGAGAAATGAGCTTTTGCAAATCCTACGCAGCTCAGTTCTACTGATGCACGGGGCGTCACCATGAACCAGTATCAACTCTGTGGTACCCGATTTACTCGTTTAAAGAGCTAGTTGGGAATATCATATGAGAGGCTTCAAAATGTTTATGGGAAAATGGAGTTAAAAGAACATGAATTTTTTTTTTCTCACAAACTATTGGACGCTCCTTTATAAAAGTAATGGCCATCTGTAACAGAACAAGTAAAAAAGTAGAGAGGATTTAAAGTCCTTCAGTGCATATGACACTGAATCTGGTTTCAAAATATTTCTAGGTCTGCAGGAACCTTGCAAATGAGAAACTTCATGCTAAGGCCAGACATGGCAACAATATCTTTCAAGGTGAAAAAGTGAAGGTCACCAGGTAACGTTCTTGCTTTCAGGGACTCCTCGGAGAATTCAGTAATGAAGTGTTCATCTCTTGGAGTCAATGAAAAAGAAGAGACAGGACTCAGGGTAGAAGTGTTGTGTTCTCTCGGAGTCTCCTATCCAAAAAGAAAGGAATGCTTGAGGGGGAATCATTAGAAACAAAGTTACAGACTAAAATCTTATTGAATTTCTCCCCAACATAGTTGGAAGGAAAATGTTCCAGTTTTTCTTATCTGCAGATAGATTTATCTACATTATAAAAAATGTTTCAAACATATTATGTAGAGCTGTAACAGGGAAAAGGAACCATAGGTGCATCTTTCAAGGAGAACAGAATAAACTCACTTTCCCTTTCACTCACTGCAACCCAACCACATTCTTCAAATCTACCCGACTCTTCTTTGCCTTGGTATTCACACTTGCTGTTTCCTTTGCTTCATGTGTTCTTGACCCTGCTCTTGCGTTAGCAGAAGGCTTCCCTAATCATCCATCTAAACCAGATTACTGCTGTCATCTAGAGCCCTTTTACAGTTTCCTGCATAGTAATTAACTCTCTTTGTTCTCTTCATTAATCTGTCTCTCTGCTGGTTTTCAGGGACAGTGATACTTTACAAGTTCCGGACATACAGTTGTTAAGCTTCTATTTACTCAGAGATTTAAGTCTCAGAGTAAAATTTCATAGTCTAGTTCGTGTATATCCTACACATTTCTAATTAAGATTATGACTTGGCACTTTGCGTCATTTGTTGTGATTTCTGCGATTCTTTTCTAGCATATTTTCTAAGTGGGTTAGGAAATTAATTATTTTCCAGTTTTTCTTATCTTCAGTTCCTTTATTAAATTCTTCCTAGCCTTCTATTACTTCTTAATTGATTCCTCTCTAAATTTTGTTTCTTCTTTTCTGACATGTTGGTAGAAAGGATTTCTCATTTCATGTCATATTGCATTTACCAAAACATCTTCAAATAGAAAAGGAGAGGGCAATCATCCCTCTCTTGTTCTTACTTCTGACAGAAATTACTCATCAGTTTCACCATCAAAATAATGTTGCTTAATTGCTATTAAGACTTTTGATTATACTTAAAAATGTCAACCAATCTTAAAACTTTATTCTTTTAGTTTCTAACTAGATTGATTTCTTGCAAGGCTGACACTGGTTTTTTACTCTAAATTATCAGGATTCTGTTCGTATTATACCTGATTAGCTTCCCACACAGTCCTCTCTGCTGAATTGAAATTATAATCCAAATAATACGAATGCTCTGAATCCAAAGAAGGGAAACCTAAAATTGCTGTGAGAGGAAAAAAAAAAAAAAGCAGATTTCGTTGCATGGTCTTTTGTTCGGTGCTAAATAGCTTTGCTAAATTTTACTTATAATTTACTTACAATCATCCTCAATGGAGTCTTTATCAGACTCTGCTATCACTTGAAAATATTCTTCCACATTAAAGCTCATATCTTCTTTTGGAACGTTTTCTTTATCTGCAAGCTGAAAACAGAGATCTATACATCAGTTTATTTAGTAAAAAGAAAACATACATTTGTTTTGTGTATGCAGATGGATGTGCTGTCAGTTGGCATTGAGTTGACTCGAACTCAGTGTGCAGAATAACATGGCCCCACAGGGCTGTCAAGGCTGTGACCTCTCAGAAGCACATCGCCAGGCCTTGCTACCAAAGCACCTCTGTGTGGGTCTGAGCCATCAATCTTTCAGTTATCAGTCCAGGACTTTACTATTTTCTCGTCCAGAGACTCTGCAGATACACACACACACACACACACACACACACGCACACAAATACACTGATATAAATAGATTTATACTACACATATATGAATAGTTATAATTTACAAATTAATAGATGTATATGGATAAATATCAGCAGATATCAACAGAGACACACACACACACACAGTGGGGAGCCAGTAAAAAAGAGGAAGATGGTTAAGAAGATGGATTGACACAGTGGCTACAACGATGGGCTAAAACATAACAATGATTATAAAGATGGTGCAGAACTATGGAGTGTTTGTTGTGCAACAGGCTTGCAAAGAGTTGGCCCCAACTCGATGGCACCTAACAAAAACATGCACAATGCCAGTTTTATTCAGGGAAAACAGAGTACATTATAGTTCATAAACTCTTCTGACATATTTCTCTGCATTTTAACATCTCTAAAATATGGATACAACTGAAAAGTGCTGGCAGTTTTGCATGTTGATAGTCCAGGTAGTTGACTACTTGCTGCAAGATTGGTGGTCACCTAGAAGTGCATTGGAAGATAAAAAACTCACTGATATCAAGTCCATTCTAATGCACAGTGACCCTAGAGGACGGAGTAGAACTGCCCTTTTGGGTTTCCAAGGCTGTCAATCTTTATGGGAGCAGAAAGTCCTCATTTTTCTCCTGCAAAGTGGCTGTTTGTTTTGAACAGCAAACCTTGAGCTTAGCAGTCCAATGCTTAATCCACTGTGGCACCAGGTCTTTTTGCCTCAGAAGATAGGCCTGGCAACCTACTGCCAAAAGGTCACAGCTTCTCTGAGTAGATACATAGGCTGACCAACTAGCTGAAGAGATGTGGGAAGGTGAATGGGAGTACATTCATGAGTAGATACAGGTGATGCAGAAGATATTTCTATGTATGCATTTGCATGAGCTTCAAATACATCCATGGATACAGCAGAGCAAACTGGGGCAAAGGTTTAAAAATCTCTAAGCCATAATCCAGTCCCTTGAGAGGCATCTAGGTCAATTTGCATAACACAGACCATAATGACAGTGCTCTATAGCTTACTCTGGTGGAGTGATGTCTTAGAGCATGGGTGTCAAACCGGCGGCCCATGGGCCACCAGTTTGACACCCCTGTCTTAGAGTTTGACACAACTTTGGTCTTTTACCTTCCAGAACAAAGAATAGGAAAGAAAATCATTGGCTCAAAGAAGTAATTAGACCAAAGGATGAATTTCCCATGTGAACCAAATCCTCCACTAGCCTGAGCCCAGAAGAACCAGATGGTACTCGGCTTCTGCTCGTGACCTCTCTGATTGGGATCACAAAAGGTTCTAGACAGAGTGGAGGTGGGAACAAATACAGAAAAAACTCAAAATCATTGGGAAAAAAAGATCAGGCATACTAGTTTGGTAGAGAGAGGTAGAACCCCAGGTACTGTGGCCCTTGAATACCGACCAACTCAGGGAAACAAGCCCACCCGAGGGGATCAGCTTTCAGTCAAAGAGACTGGTGAATAATGTGAATAATAATACCAGGAGGAATGGACTCATCAGAAAATTCAACAGTTCAAGACCTAAAGGGCAGTATTGGCACTATTACACTGGGGGGATGGGGATAGTTGCAATCAAAAAAAGAAAATGTGTATACATTGCTAAATGGAAAACTTTTTGTACATTTTCACCCAAACCCTAATAAAAAGCTCAGAGTCTAAATTAAATAAAAAAGGTTATAACCTTGAAAATCTATGGAATATCCCTACTCTGCGCATATGGGTCACTATGAGATGGAGGACAATTAAGGATGGCACAGGACCGGGCAGTGTTTCACCCGGTTGTTCAGTGTCGCTATGTGTTGGAACTCATTGGATGCCCCCTAACAGCCGCATGAGTTGGAAGAGCCTTGCGGCAGGAAACAACCACACGGCCCAGGCAGCAGCTGTGGCCTCGTTAGTGTTGCTGGCCCACATGTGAATAGAGTCGAACTGTCCACATGATAGCCACTTAAATGATTGTGTGCAGTGAGCTTTAGATATGCTTTGTGACAAGACTGGTAACAGTAATTCTGCTGTTTAAATGTCACCGAGAAGATCACATTATGGTGGCCCGGCCCCTGGGAGAGGTGGTTTACGACCACAGCTGTGGCAGGTACTTCCTGCACCCTGTGGGCTAGAAGAGGGAGAGATGAAAGAACTGCTCCAGGCCCAACACAACCGCTGAAGACAGAGGGTGCATACGTCAGTGTGGTGAAGAAAGCTGATGGTGCCCGGCTATCACAAGATATGGCATCTGGGGTCTTAAAGGCTTGAAGATAAACAAACGGCCATCTAGCTGAGAAGCAACAAAGCCCACATGGAAGAAGCACACCAGCCTCTGCGATCATGAGGTGTCGAAGGGATCAGGTATCAGGCATCAAAAAACAAAAAATCATTTCATTGTGAATGAGGGGGAGTGCAGAGTAGGGACCCAAAGCCCATCTGTAGGCAACTGAACATCCCCTTACAGAAGGGTCGCGGGGAAGGAGATGAGTCAGTCAGGTGCAGTATAGCACTGATGAAACATACAACTTTCTTCTAGTTCTTTAATGCTTCCTCCCCGCCACTATCATGATCCCAATTCTACCTTACAAATCCAGCTGTACACTGGTACAGATAGGAAATGGAAACACAGGGAATCCAGGACAGACGAACACCTCAGGATCAGTGGTGAGAGTAGCGATACCAGGAGGGTGGAGGGAAGGTGGGGTAGAAAGGGGGAACCAATCACAAGGATCTACACAGAACCCCCTCCCTGGGGGCCGGACAACAGAAAAGTGGGTGAAGGAAGATGTTGGACAGTGTAAGACATGACAAAATAACAATAACTTATAAATTATCAAGGGTTCATGGGGGGGGGGCGGAATAAAGGGGGGAAATGAGGAGCCGATACCAAGGGATCAAGTAGAAAGCAAATGTTTAGAGAATGGTGAGGGCAACAAATGTACAAATGAGCTTGACACAACAGATGCATGTATGGATTGTGATAAGACTTGTATGAGCCCCCAATAAAATTATTTTAAAAAAGAAATTTCTGTAAACATAGTGTTAATAAAGCCCATAACTGTGCGGGGTGGGGGGGGGGGAGATTTAACTATGGCAGCGTGTGATATGTGAATATTATATCAAGAAAACTACTAAAAAAGAAAGAAACCAAATTTGACCAAGGGTTATCGTGGGTGGAGGAAGAGTTGTGGCTTAGGGGAGCAATACGTTTATGTTAATGGTGGCGGAATACTTTGGAAAAGGATATCAGTGATGGTTATATGACGTGAAGAGTATAATCAAGGACACTGAATTGTACATGTGGAGGTTATTGAATTGGAGATTGTTTTGTTCTGTATGTTGTTGCCACAATTAAAAAACTAATAATGACACTGATAACGAGTACAAGGAAGAGGGAAAGGTTCTAGGATTGACTGTGGCGATGATTGTACAACACGCTTCTTGATGAGACTGAACTATGGAATTGCATGACGGTGGATGAAGTGCCAATAAAACTGTTAGAAAGAAAGAGGAAAAAAAAGAAAGAAAGAAAGAGACTCACTCTCTCACTTACTGACACTCACTCACTCACCCTTTCACTCACACACTCTCTCACTCACTGACTCTCACTCACTCACTCACAAAAAAGAAAAAAAAAAAGAAAGAGAGCGAGTTGCGCCCAGATCATATTCAGCAATTCATACACATTTTGCTTCAATGCCTCCCCTGCAGCCCCTTCAATGTCAAATCGCATAACTCACTTCTTCCCTGTGTGTCCTGTTTCCAGCGCCTTGCCTTACCTAATCCTATGAACTTTATTCATGGGTACACACTGCCCTTTAGGTCTTAACATGGTAGATTTCACCAAAAGAAAGGAAAAGAAAACAACACAAACTGGGGCAAATTTTTGGCAATGGCATCTCACACAAGGGACTAACTGTAGAATCTTTAGAAAACTTCAACACCTCAACAAGATGATGACAAATAATCCAATATAAAAACGAGCAGAGGACATGAACAGATATTTCGCCATAGAAAACATTCAGCCATCCAACAAACATCTGATGGAAGGATCATGATCATTAGCCATTCTAGAGATGCAAGCCTAAACAACAATGAGATATCACTTCAACTTAGCATCAATAGCAACGTTCAAATAACAAATAGTGGCAAAGGTTCAGAGAGTTGGACTTCTCATACTCCGCTGGTGGAACTACAGAACAGTAGCACAATCACTGAGGAAAGTAGTATGGTGCTTCCTCAGAAGCTGGAAATAGAAATACTATATATCCAGCAATCCCTCTATTTGGTACTTTTAAACAAAAACAAACTAGCAAACCCACTGCCATCAAGTCGATTCTGATTCATAGCAACCTGCAAACCTTTACAGGTGCCTCAACTTTCTACCATGAAGTACTGGTGGGTATGAACCACCAACCTTATGCCTACCAAAAAACCAACCAAACTCACTGCCATGGAGTGGATGCCAACTCATAGTGACCCTAAAGGACAAGGTAGAACTGCCCCTGTGAGTTTCCAAGACTATAACTCTTTATTGGAGTAGAAAGCTCCATTTTTCTCCCATGGATGGGCTAATGGTTTCAAACTACTGACCTGTGGTTAGCAGCTTAACATGTAACCACTATGCTTATCAGTCCAGTGTTAACAGAAACCAGAGCCACAACACAAATAGATATACGCACACCCATACTCATCATAAGACTATTCACAGGAGCAAGAACACGGAAGCATAAAGGTGTTTCTTATAATCAATGCTAATCTGCTAGAAAACACAGTTTTCTTTTTAATTCAAAAACTTCTATGTACCAGTAATCTCATATTTATTTACAATAGCACTGATCTCCGTTGGTAGGTCCAGCCATTTTATTTTAGAACATTTTGACAGGCTCAAACAAAACCAAACTCACTACCATCGAGTTGATGTCAACTCATGGTGACTCTGAAGGGCATGCTAGAACGGCCCGTGAGTTTCTGAGGCGATACCTCTTTAGGGGAGTAGAAAGCCTCGTCTTTCAGAGAAGCTGGTGGTTTCGAACTACTGACCTGAGCTGAGCAGTCCAACTCAGTACCACTATGCAACCAGGGATTCTTTTGACAGACTAGAGATAAAATATATTAGCATAACTGACGAGTGAAAATTTGAATAAAGCAAATGGATACATTTCTTTATCAATACAATGTTCATACTAGGCTAATTTAATTGTCCTTACCAAAAAACCCACAAAAAATGAGAAATAGACAAATTCTATCTTTGACAAAACTCAGCAATCCTGAATTATAGTGCACTATTAAGAGGAAAGAAAATGTTATAGACTTGACAATAAGAGGAAGTCAAACCTACTCCGTGGGGCCCAAAAGGAAGTAATACTCATTAAATGACTCTGAAATCATAAAAATACACAGGAGGCACTAGTACAGAAGTTCTAGAAGAAGGATGAGAACTAAAAAAAACAAGTGTGGAGAGTAAATTACTAAAGAAACAAACAAAAAATTTCAAAACACGGCTGGACTTATACCAGAAAGATGGAAAAAACAAAAAACAAAACCCCTTATATGCCCTGTCCATAGTATTAAGAAGACCTTGAATGTATAGTGTGTAGTATTTTATGTCAGGTGAATAAAATGGTCACTTCTCACCAGGAAGGGGCAGGAAACAAGGATGCATGGGCACAGAATGCGGGGACCGGGAAGAGCGCTGCTCCTCCGAGGGAATCGCAACTACTGCCATGAAACAAAATGCGTCCGCATTGCTGATGCGAGACTCGTGTGCTCTGTGACTCTCACACAGATCACAATAGAATACATCTATTTTAAATTATTTTATTGAGGGCTCGTACAATTCTTACCACAGTCCACACATCCATCCATTGTGTCAAGCACATATGTACATTTGTTGCCCTCATCAATCTCAAAACATTTGCCTTCTATTTGAGCCCTTAATATCATTTGCTCATTTCCCCCCTCCCTCCCCCCTCCCCCCTCCCGCATGAACCCTTCATAATTCATAAATTATTATAGTTTTGTCATAAGTTACACTGTCCGACGTCCCCGTCCGCCCTCTTCTCTTAAAATACATATTTTTAAAAGAGTGTTTAAAGGAACATTAGCTGGGACAGCCCCAAATGCAGGCAAACCAACCAACTGCAGAATGGATGTACTGAAGTGTATCCATACAACAGAACACTGCTCCAGCACTGAAAGTGAAAAGAGCAGCTGCATGCGCTTCAGCAATACACTGTGTTATCACTCTGCTTCAGGTACACTGGTGCGTTGTGGGCTATGAGTTGGGTTGCTAACTGCGAGGTCAGTAGTTCAAATCCATCAGCCGCTCTGAGGGAGAAAGAGGAGGTTTTCTGCTGCCATAAAGATTTATAGCCTTACTATTATGATTTTATCCTTACCACCTTACTGTGATTTTGCTTCTTATTGTTGTCTGTTGGGTTTCCCAGCTGTGAAGCACAGGAGAAGTGGATGTGTAATGAGAATAGCTGCAGCTAGGGGCAATAGAGAATGTAGGGAAGTGGGGTAGGCGACAAAGAGAGAAAGGGGATTTCAGGAGTAAATAATGAAGGCGGGAGGTGGGAGGGAGCACTAGAACAGGTTGTGATTGCACAACACATTTTAAAGTCAATTTAACCATAGGGTGGGGGTAGGGATGCTCTAAGATTGATGTGGTGGTTATTGTATTATTCTTCTTGATATGACTGAACAATTGAAGTATTGAATTATATGATAAGCAAATCATGTGCCAATAAAACTGTTGGGGAAAATAAATAAATTGTACTCTACCAAAAACAAGGCAACAAACAAAAAGCTTTGGAAACCCACAGGAACATCTGCCCTATTAGGTCACTATGAGTTGGAATTGGCTCGATTGTAGAGTTTTGGGTTTTGTATTATTCCATTCATATACAATTTCTAAAACACAACTAATATGTGATGTTAAAAGTCAGTACACTGTCCCTTGTCTGGGGCAAGGGAAGGGGTAGTGGTTGAGAGGGACAGGAGGCGGAGCTTCTGGGACGCGGACAGTGCACTGCATATTTGTGGTACTTACTCAGCTGTGCACATGCGATCTGTGCTTATATTTGGGATGTGTCTTATGGTTAAAGAGAAAAAGGAAAAAGAAAAAAATACCTTTTTAACTCTTGCTGGGCAGTAAATCTTTCAAATAAAATACTTTTGTCTCAAGTAGCTTGAGCTAAGCTAGAAGGCATCACCTTAATTTAGAGAACTCCTTTTTTTAGCTTATCACCATACAAAGATTCATCTAACTATATTCACTTCAGAATATGTAAGGCATTTGGTAAGATGCAACTATAAGAATATTTTTACCTGCAAGAAGTCAATCTGCATGCCCGTGCCAGGCCTCTTGGATTTTGGAAAACAAGAATCTGTCCTAATATCTTCATGCTCTATCCTATCAGGAAATGGTCTACATCCTCGCTGTGAGCTGTGTCCTCTGACCATGACAACACTAGTCGCTGATCCTTTAACTTGGTGCCCTTGAAACTCAACAAGCTATAGGGAGATTATTAAAAATGAGAACTGCCAAAGGATATATAGATACATACATCTAATTCACAATGTCTAAACATAGATATCAATACATAATTCAGCTTTGTATTAAATATTAACTACTACAAGTGCTACAAACCAGGAACCCCAAAACATGTGTTAACACTAAATTTTCTTAAATGTATTGCTTTGTCTTCAACAAGAACAATGATGAATTATTTATTATGAGCAGAGGAATAAATAGAGTAATAAAGGAACACTGAAGCTAGAGACTGGGTTGCTTCTTTCCCTATGCTTTTACTATATGCTATACGACTTTCCAGTACAGACTAGTTACACTTTCCTCCAAAAACCCATTCTTTTCTATATGTGCACTGTACTGCAAACTCCTTGGGAACCCTGGTGGTGTAGTGGTAATATACTGGGCTGCAATCTGCAAGATGAGCAGTTTGAAACCACTAGGCACTCTGCAGGAGAAAGACCAGGCTTTCTACTTCTATAAACAGTTACAGTCTTGGGAACCCATGGGCCAGTTCTAGCTGACCTATAGGGTCTCTATGAGTCAGCATGGCCTTGATGGCAGTGAGTAAGTTCCTTGAGGGCAGAGGCCTCTTTGCTTTGTCTTGGTATTACCTACGCAGTACTTGGCATATAAGATGCAATCCGATGCAATCAATTAACAGATGATAGAAAGGGAAGGAATACAGGATGCATTTTTCTTCCCTTAGGGCTTTTACAAACTACCAAGCTTAAAACAAGATGGGTAGTGGGCTCTCTACTGCCAGCAGAATATTTCATAGCCTGTTGCTCTAAGAGTAAAGACCTAGGCACATGGCCCCTATGCAAGCATGCACCACAGTGAGGATCATGCATCCCCTCTGCTTTGAGCTGTCTTCACACTTCAAATAGCTTCCTCTGCTGCCCCCTTGAGGGTTCTAAGGGTTTTACTTCACACTAGGTGGCAGCCTTCTGGAAAAAGATTTGCCATGGAAATCACATGGAAAAAGATTTGCCAATACAGGCAAAAACCAAACCCACTGCCACCAAGTCACAGCAACCCTAAATCTCCACGGGAGCAAACAGCCTCCTCTTTCTCCTGGAATATAAATGAATGTACAAAAAAGGGCTCACTTATTGCCAAGTGATCAATTAACCAAATGATAATAATGTATCATCTGAATATACTTAGTTTACAATGAAGATTCTAAATCACACATTTGTAAGGAAAATAAAATCCAAAATGCTCCTTACAAGACTTTTATTGAAAATATCCTTCTGAAGTTAAAAACACGTTTCATTTTTTTAAGTTGTTAGGAACTGTATGTATATTTCTGGTTTTGTTGTTGTTGTTGACCCACATGCAAATATGAGGGAGTTTCAAAAAGTTTGTGGAAAAATTCCATGATCTTTTCATTCTATTTTTCCACGAACTTTTTGAGGTCCCTTTATCTATGCTGTCAGGAAGATTCTTCCAGTAGCTAATTGAGCTTTAGGAATAGCATTACTATTTACAAAATTAAACGTCTCTATGCTATTGCTTCTATCACTCTTTGCTGTGGATGAGATTGTACTAAGGAGTCCTGATAATGTAGTAAAGTGCCCAGCAGTTCATTGAAGGATCAGCACTTCAAAATCATTAGCTGACTTCTGTAAAGATTTACAGCCCTGAAAACCCTATGAGGCAGTTCTACTGCCTTACAGGGTCCTTGGGTTGGAATTTGACTTGACAGCTATTGAATTTAGGTAGTTCTGATTAGAACTTGAGTTACTGTTGCTGTGAGGTGCTGCCAAGTCGGCCCCAAGTATTCACTTCTACATATTCATTTAAAAGCGGAAGTTGTGGAGTACACTATAAGTTGTTTGTTCTCCACATAACAGTCATTTATAGTACTTTACATGGCTTCGTTTCTGTTCTTAATATATATACTGCATTATTAGATTATTTTTAGTAGAGAGAAAATTCAAGATCAAAATAAGGGTTTATCTTGTTCTTGAAATGATGCTAATTTATTATGCTTACTGACTTTCAGCTTATGGAAATATTAAGAGGAAAACATAGTAGGTTAAAAAGTCAAAGTTCTTCAGAAATTTTACCTTAGGGTCACAGGTCTCTATCTGTTTAGGAATAACAGATAGAAAAGCATTCTTTTCTTCACTTCCCAATGTAGTAAACTAGAATAAAACACCAATACATCTATAAACTAGGGTAGTTTTGCAGGTGGTTTATAAATTTGATAGAAAAAATACTTCCAAAAATGTTAAAGTTAGATTTGCCCTTGAAAATATACTTAAGGGCATCTCCATTGTATTTCTCTTTCTCTACACACACATACACACACACACACACAGAAGCAGGTGGTGATGTAGGTTACTCATTAGGCTGGTAATCATAAAGTCAGCAGTTCAAACCCACCAGATTCTCCTTTGGAGAAAGATGAAGGTGTCTTCTCCCAGAAAGATTTACAATCTTGGAAACCCTACATAAAGCTGAGTCAGAATTGATTGGTGACAGTAGATTTTTGGTGTTTATAAATGCCAAAAAGTGCCCTAGCAGGTATTATGCTAAATTTTTAATTTAACTTTTATGCTCAATTTTTTTAAACCGAACACATTACAAAATCCAGATCAGAATTTCAATTAAAATCTTAACACTGGAAAAATGTGTTTGGTACATAGTACATCACCCTTTAAATCTAATACTTATTTAAGTGGAGATGGTTTAACTTAAAATTTAGCATGAAATGAAAAGAAAAGAAATTATAAGCAGAGTTAGAGATTTCAATAATGAATCATGTGCAACATTGGTGGTCAGCATAGCTGCCGCCCAAGAATAAATCATCGTTCTAACAACCACTAATACAAGATATAGAGCAGCAACTAATCATTTTACATTCATCCGGGAACTGTATTGAAATAACCAGAACTTCTTATATGAACTAGATCCATACCAAACCTACTGCCACCGAGTCGATTCCAACTCATGGAGATGCTACCCAGGGTTCCTGAGACTGCCCATCTTAAGAGAGCAGACAGCCCCATCGTTCTCCCGCAGAGCAGCTGGGTGAGTTTCAAACTACAGGCCGTCTGGTGAGCAGCCTAGCAATTACTACTCTAGGGTTCCTTTATGAATTAGATATGCTTAAACAACGAATTCAACTGTGGAACTCCTTAAAAAAAATTTTTTTAAGAACTAGGAGGGGAAAAAACATCCTCAATAAACAAGAGGTAGTACTTCTTCAAATAATGATACTGTATTTAAGCTCAAATGCCCACCAAGGAGCATCTGAAAACCCCCAAATCACATTTTAGAATCAGATTGTTTGTTTGCTTTTTTATAGAATCAGATTTTTTTAACATAAGGAGCTTTAAAATTAATTGCATAGTACTTTTTCAGATGAAACAGCTCCTTTGCTATATGTAGTGAATTATACTTAGAGCAATAAGGCAGAGATGAAATTAAATGTCTTCTCAAAGTTTTGAAAGTTCCTTCCACAACCAATGTACATAGACACTGTTTCAGAGTGTTGTGGTAAGAAAGAGCCATTACAAAAGTGAAAATGCATTCCTATTTTATTGTAAAAAGCAGAATTTTTCTTTCAAAATAATGTAGTAAAGCCTTTCTCATTGCTGTGAGGTAGTAGCCAATTATTAACAACGTGATATTTTTTAAAATGAAAACTCATTCCAATGGCAAAAACAAATTTATCTGTAATTCATACTTTGTGATAACAATGCTAGAAAAAGTTTAAACCCAATTTTTCAAGTGAAAATAATGTGTGATCATTGTTATGCTAAATTATACTATTACTGGATATTTAATAATTAATGTTTGGTCTTAGGTAAAAAAATGACAAGTCACCACAACACAGATTTTGTTCTGTGTTGGGCAACAGAGCTGCATATGTCAATGACAATTCGTGGCTTAGTTTATAAAGTTAAGCTTTCTAATAAAGGACTTATTAGTTAATGAAATCATATTTATCACAAAGTACATTGCTACAAAAGATAGCAAGTTACATTAGGGATATCTGGTTGTAAATGAGACTGACAACTGGCAATATACAAACTTTAAAAATTACAAGTTACATATACTAAAATTCTTAAAGTTCATGTAAATGGAATTAAAAGATAATGGAATTTTTCCATAAACTATTTGAAGCCCCCTGTTTGACTAATTTATATTTTTGTATTTAAAAAGATAATTTACCTGAAAAGACTCAAATGGCTCATTTGGTTCAACTTTAGCTTCTGTTAACACCTCATGTATCTAAGAATAACCAAAAGACAACAATTTATAAGATAAAAATATAAATTTCTACTAGACATAAATGATACATGAATACCATCATTAATAATCAAAGAAAGAAAATTTAAAATGGGAGTTTGTGCCCGTCTTAGCTCGCAAAGGACCTCCTTCATCCCTCTCCCGAAGAGGAGAAGAAGAAACACAAGAAGAAGCGCCTGGTGCAGAGCCCCAATGCCTACTTCATGGATGTCAAAGGCCCAGGCTGCTATAAAATCACCACGGTCTTCAGCCACGCACAAACAGTCGTTTTGTGTGTTGGCTGCTCTGTCCTCTGTCAGCCCACAGGAGGAAAAGCAAGGCTCACAGAAGGATGCTCCTTCAGACGGAAGCAGCACTAAAAGACCCTGAATGGAGATGAGTGGAAAGCCATTCTAATAAACCCATTTTGGATAAAAAAAAAAAAAAAAAAGAAAAGTTAAAATGTTAATAACATACTTTTAACACTTAGCAGGAGCTAAAACCTCTTAACAGTACTGGTGTGAATAGGCAAAAATAAATATTCATGTTATAACATTTAAATTTTTAGATTTGGCAATATGTATCAAAAACCTAATAAAATTATTTTTAGACTTTCAGTGCCACCTGACAATCAAATCTAAGAAAATAGTTTAAAATGCAAATAATGATTTATGAGCAAAATCATGCTTTATTTATAATAGTAAAATGTTAAAAAAATTTTAATAATGTGAAAAATAGGACATTATGGGGAAGGGCTATAACATTATTTAAATACATTAATTCTAACCCATAGTTTTCCCAAACTTATTTGGCCTAGCACCCAGTTTTCAGGGGGGAAAAAAATTACTTAGGACTCTTCTAGCAATGAAAAACTTTTTACTATAGACCGTAATCCAGGATAAAGTGTGAGAATCTGCTTTTGCAACCCCACTCCCTAACCCCTGCCAACTCAGATCATTATGGCAGCTCCCAAAGGGCAGTATTGGGAAACACTGATTGAACCATATTTTTAAACACAGGCAAAGAAGCTAGGTAGTTTTATTTTCTTTCATACATGTCCACTAGAAATGACAATACCAAATGAGAATTCTCCCTTCAAAAGTGATAACACATTCTCTTTGATAAACACTACTCTAAACTATTGCAAATTGCCAAGTCATCCTAATTGGCAGCACTATTTTTAATACTATGATCATGGCTCTCAAACTGTGCATCATGGCACCCTGAGGAACACAGTGCATTTCATAGGTTCCAGGAAATATTTTAATTTAGAGGAGACCAGTGTCATGCATTATCTGCTGGGCGCTGATGAATGAAGTCAAGATAGTTCAGTCTCAACATTAGATAATATTGTCTTTTAATAGCATCTTCATGAAGCTGGGCTTGATGAAGTTGCTATTGATAAGAGCAATTACTGTGTGAAAAATCATGTTGAAGAAATGGGGCGATGTTGTGTAATCTACTTCGAGGTTTGAGAAGTGGTGCAATGCCCAGCTGATGCACTCATTCCGTCAGTAAGTATCTGTGCTCATTTACAAATGAAATGCTTACTAAATTATTGGATTATAGTTACTTATTAAGTTATTCAATACTATGTACTACCTACTAAAAAAGTAGAACTGTAGGGAAAAAAAGTAAAACTGTAAAGTATTTCTTTGGGTCTAGGTAAGCCATGAAAAAAAATTACTGATACAAAGGGATCAGAAACATGTTGTTTGGGAACATCTCTGTCACCATAATCCTATTTTTTAAAATCACAGAACTTGTTATGTCAAAATATAAGAACATACTAACAGGAAAAAAATATACACACCTGTCGAGGAGACTCCGGGCTCAGATGAGGAGATTCTGGCATAGCTTGTGAAACTACTGTTGGAAGGGGTTTCCAAGCTGTAATGACTAAGAATCAAATGATATAAATTACATAACTAGTAAGTCTCAAGAAACTCACAGGGGCACTGCTAGCCTGTCCTGTAGGAGCACTAAGAGTCCGAATCAGCTCATTGGCAATGAGTGTGCTTGGCTGAGTAGTCTAAACTTTAATGGAAAGAAACAAGGGCTATCACTGAAATTTCAAGGTGGGGCAAAATCTTGGTAATTACTGAATCTGGAATGTGGGTCACTTGGGGGATTCTTTTATAACTTTGAATACTGTCGTGATAAAAACGTTTTTTTAAATCAGAATGAAGACAATAGTAGGTATGTTTCCTTTCTGTTGTTGTTCAAACTAATTGAAAAATAAACACTAAAACAATAGCTAACCACCTATACTAAAAATTAAATATTGGCCGAATTTTTAGGAGCAAGACAGACAGACCCCTCTTCCTCCGTTAGTTACACTGCTGTTGTGAAACATAAAAAGAAAAAAAACTACTTAAATGCTATTTCTAGATCCAAAATCTATTTGACTATCACTTGACAGGGAAAAAAAAGTATACTTGCTTATTCACAAAACAATTCTTTTCAAAGCATGACTTAAGATAAACAAGATCCCTGAAAACAGAGCAACATAGACAAATAATTAAATCAGTTAAATTCAGATTGTGACACAAATGGGTAGGTATGCAAGTGTTTCAAAAAGTATGTTGCGAAATTCTATTCTCTTTTAACCCGGTTTCCCAACACTTTCTGAAACCACCTCATATAAAAGGGTGGTATGCTAGAGAGCAGCTTTAGAAAGTGTGATGAAGAAAGGCATCTCATCGGAAGTAACATTTAGGATGAGGGAGAAAAAATCCAGCTATGCCTTGGTTGAAAGATAGGTGAAAGGCAGAAAACTCTGAGGCAGGAAAGCTGGTGAGCCGACGACGCCTCTTAGATGTAAAGATTGATCTCTCCCACGCGGATCGGCAAAGCACGAAGAAAACTGAACACACGTGGAAACAATTAGTCCAAGTGACCAATGTGCCATTCGGATGTCAGCCTCCATGTCCCGGAGGCCAGAAGAACTAGATGGTCCCTGGCTATCACTCCCAATTGCTCTTGGGGGATTACATGAGAAGGTTCTAGATAAAGTGGGAGCAAAACTAAAACGCTATAAAAGGGCCAACTTACTGCTTGGTTAAAGACTAGCTGGACCCCTGAGACTATGGCCCTCAACTACCTTTTTGGGCCGGAACTGAACTTGTTACCTCCACTTCTCTCCAAATCGAATAAAAAGGAGTCAGGTAGAATACCTGGTAGAATAGTACAGACAGCACAGCAGCGCACTCAGCCAAGCATTTATTTAAAAGCAAAAGTATGTTCTGAAGGAGGGGTCCGTCAGTCTCCCTGGAGTGGAGATGCCTGAGAGCAGCGGTTCTCAACCTGTGAGTCTCGACCCCTTTGCCGGTGGAAAGACCCTTTCACAGGGGTTGCCCGATTCATAATAGTAGCAAAATTAGTTATAAGCAGCAGCGAAAATAATTGTATGGTTGGGGGTCACCATAACATAAGGAACTGTATTAAAGGGTCTGGGCATTACGAAGATTGAGAACCACTGCCTTAGAGTGATTCAATGCAGAGCTAGTCTACTTTTACAAATATATGTTAACTAAGGGGAAGACTATTCATGATTGTCCAGGGGGAAATAAGGAGGAATTTGTGATACACCTGAGGTCCATCTCTCACTTTCCCTTAGTCCGTCAGGTTGTAAGTGTCATGACACTTCGGGATGGTAAACGGTCTAGATGCTAGTGGGTGTGGTTTTTATTACAGTGAGCAACAAGGTTTTAGTAGGTTATTTCTTTCCCCACCACACATGCATGCTCAACGTAGGAGAGAGCTCCCTAATAGCAGGGTCCTAGAATTAGTAAATGTTAATACTGTTTATCTGCTTCACTCTTCATGACTACTCCCTTATTCTTAAGGTGGCTTTTACTCTCGCAAGGGAGTTTTCCAGCTTCCCTATTCTGTCCCAACAAATTCACTCTAATGGCTCATTTATACACAAAACAACAGCCAAATAGACAGGTCTCTATGTATTCCTTAGTCTAAGCTACTCAGTCCTTAGAATAATCAACCATTGAGATCAAAAGGGCAAAGTTCAGAAAGGTTGGGAAGAAAGAGGAATGGGAACAGGAAAATACAAGATTAGTGGGATAGATGGCATTGTATTGTAGGTATTGTAATCAATGACATGAAACAAAATGTCTATGAATTGCAGAATGGAAAACTGATCTGCTCTGAAAACCTTCACTCAACTCACATGAAGAATTTTAAAAGAAAGTTGGCAAGTCAATGGAATGGAAAGGAGGTCAACATGGTAAGACCCTATCACCTTACCAGGTATCCTTTTACAAAACAGAATTCTCCTTTAGAAAAGAGAGTGTATATTCAAGAATTTCAGGATCTCCTAAAGGTACAGGAAGGTTATTATTTTAGGATGATTCTTATTGAGAAAAAATGATATCTGATGTAAACTTCATTTTTACGCAATTGTTATTCTTGGTTTCATAATTTTTTGTATAAATTTAATGAAACAAAAATAGATTTTGGAAATTGATGTTGTTTCTAAAAAAGCTTTAAAAATTTTTTTAAACTGTGTGAAAACTGACATTTCTTTTTCTGTACTCAGCCCAGAATAAAATTCTAAAGTTATATGTTCAAATTGAGAGTCAATTATCACACAAAAGTTGTAGCATACTGGATCTTGGTTTGTTTGTTTTTTTAATTATTTTATTGGGGGCTCGTACAATTCTCATCACAATCCATACATACATCCACTGTGTCAAGCACATATGCACATTTGTTGCCCTCATCATTCTCAAAACATTTGCCTCCCACTCTAGCCCCTAATATCAGTTGCTCATTTTCCCCCTTCCTCCTCCCTCCCCCTCCCTCATGAACCCTTCATAGTTCATAAATTATTATAGTTTTGTCATAAGTTACCCTGTCCAACGTTTCCCTCTACCCTCTTCTCTGCTGTCCATCCCCCAGGGAGGAGGCAATACTTAGATTCTTGTAATTGGTTCCCTCTTTCTACCCATTTCCTTCACCCTCCAGGCATTGCCCCTCTCACCACTGGTCCTGAAGGAGTCATTTATACTGGATTCAATGTGTTTCCAGTTGCCATCTGTACCAATGTACATCCTCCGGTCCAGCCAGATTTGTAAGGTAGAATTGGGATCATGATAGTGGGGTGAGGAAGCATTAAAGAACTAGAGGAAAGTTATATGTCTCATCATTGCTACCCTGCACCCTGATTGGCTCGTCTCCTCCCCACAATCCCTCAGTAAGGGGGTGTTCAGTTGCCCACCGATGGGCTTTGAGTCTCCACTCTGCACTCACCCACCTTTACAATGATATGATTTTTTTGTTCTTGGATGCTTGATACCTGATCCCTTCGACAGCTCGTGGTCACACATGCTGGTGTGCTTCTTCCATGTGGGCTTTGTTGCTTCTGAGCTAGTTGGCCGCTTGTTTATCTTCAAGCCTTTAAGACCCCAGACGCTATATCTTTTGATAGCCAGGCACCATCAGCTTTCTTCACCACCTTTGCTTATGCACACGTTTGTCTTCAGTGATCGTATCAGGAAGGTGGGCACCCACTGATCTGATTTTTAGTTCTTTTTTTTTTTTTTTTGATTTTTAGTTCTTTGATGTCTGATAACTGGTCCCTTCTGCACCTCGTGGTCAGTCAGGCTGGTGTGCTTCTTCCATGTGGGCTTTGATGCTTCTCAGCTGGATGGTCGCTTGTTTATCTTCAAGCCTTTAAGACACCAGACACTATATCTTTTGATAGCCAGGCACCGTTAGCTCTCTTCACCACATTTGCTTATGCACATGTTTGTCTTCAGTGGTTGTGTCAGTAAAGTGGGTACCCACTGATATGATTTTCAGTTCTTTGGATCTTGTTTTAAAATTTTTTCATACATTTTAAAGCAATAATTAATTCTTCTCTAATTTGTAAGGAGCTCCTAAAATTATTGTTTCGTATTACAATAAATAGATTCCATTTTCTTAAATTGGTTCAAGAAAACAAGCTTAATCCTTTTAAGAAATAGCTATTTATATCAAGAAACACTTCTTTTCCAATTTAATAGGATTGAGTAAAGTATAAAATTATTTCTGCAAATAAAATTCTGTGACTTTTAAATTATCATAGTTTGTAAATGTATATCCTTAAATGGTGTTATATAATTATACCTAGTCATTTTTATTTTTCATTGAACCTTTTTCTTATTTCTAATTGTTTAGAAAATAAACTCGTCATCAAAGTTAATGTGTTTCCTTGGTATTTCAGTGAAATATGTAATATTGAGCTGCTTATTTTTGCAGAAAAGAAAAAAAAAAACATGGAAAACAAAACTTGTTAGTACATACCACATCTATTTTTACCCCAGAAATCACTTGAGATGTTCAAATAATGGTCCAATTTAAACTTTTCTTTGAGAGTATCTTTAATGTTTGTTCATCTGTACAACATTCATTGTGTGTGTAATACTATTACATATTTAAGATGCAATGCTATTTATTGGCAATATGCAATAAAAGAAGTTGAGACCAGTGATATACTGAAAGAAAATATCTGCAACATAAACCTGAGATAAGAACTTAATATCCCTAATAATAAAGAACTCTTACAAATCAAGGAGAATAAAAAGACCAAACTTCACGTGAACAATTGAATTTAAGAAAAAGTTTGTAGGACAATTCCCTAATCTTTAATTACATTTATTCATTAATTTTCTGAAGCGCCTACAAATGATAAATGAGCATATGAAAAGCTCAATTTAATTTGTAATAATGTAAGTACAAATTTAAAATGTGCTAAAATGCCATTCTTGTCTATCAAAAAAAAAACCACTTGAAAACTCACTGCCATCAAGTGGATGCTAACTCACAGAGACTCTAGCTGTCAGATCGGCAAAACCTCCAAAGCTTGGCAATACACTACTACAAGAGCATAGAGACAAGACTCTCACGTGCTGCTGGTAGGAGTGACAAATGGTATCATCTCTATGGAGGCAGTGTGGCAATAGCTAATGAATTTACACACCTAATTATCAATTCTTCAGCAAGCTCGCTTCTAGATATTTAACCTGAATATACACCTACAATATAAAAGAAACAAAAGACCCAGATATAAAAGGATATACTGTGTTTTCAAATATAACACATCTACTTAAATAATGTGCACATACATGTAAGCACAGCACACAGCAAAATACCTTATGAAAGGCTGCTAGTTTATAAAATCCATATAGTGGATAGTATTTGTGTGAAATGTTAATCTTTAGCTGCTTATTTTCGCAAAAAGGAATAAACTGCCTACCTACAGCAGGTGGACAGCAATGATATGCAAAGCATATGGAAAGAGTATGAATGTTTATATATATGTGGCTTTGACTTTTGAATTACATTAATACTTTAACAAAAAATGAAAATAAGGCGATGATGGGAAGAAAAGTTCTAATACTAAACAACTCAACGAACTATATTTCTATCAAATGATAACATAATTACACTAAAGAAAAGCAATCCAAATAACTTTTGAATATAATATGCCATGCTTCTAACAGGATAGTCTATAAAAAGAACTGAAAAGGATTCTTGAAATTTTTAATGTAAAGGTTTGGTTTTGTTGTGTGGCTGTTAAGCAGTGGTATATGTATAATAATTGAGAAACTATTTTGTGGACAGTTTATTGTTGTTCCAAATCAAAACCAAAAGCACTGGCCATCAAGTTGATTCCAACTCCTAACGCCCCTGTAAACAAGAGCAGAAACCCCCGTCTTTCCCTCAGAGTCCGTGGTGGTCTCAAGCTGCCCACCTGGTGGTTAGCAGCCCAAAGCACAACGTGCCATGCCACCCGGGCTCCCTCGTTAGGCGCCCTCACTCCCGGCAACCTTATGTATAAACAAAATAAAATGTTGCCTGGTCCTGCATCATCTACACCCTCTGTGTGTATTTCTCACTGCAGAAGTAGATGAACGCCATTAAGGGATGGGGGAAAGAGAAGAAGAAAATCTGTGGTAAGAGATTAAAATGAGCGATGATAGGAATGATTACATAACACAATTTAAAAGATCAGTGAGTCTATACAGATAATAAGAAACAAAAGAATTAAAAAGTGAGGTGGGCAGAAGTGGGAGAGAGCTTAGGGAAGCTCTTCATTATAGAAAATATCATTTATAAAAAAGAATGATAAAAATAGAAGGTCATTAGTTTATAGTTTCCATACCAGTAATTGATTCAGGTATAAATCACCAAGGTATGCTGAAAATGCCTAGCGTACACACTTGGGAATAGGATAATTCAGCCTGAAAACATCACCCTGGACATTACTTAATGAATGCAAAAGAAAAAAAATTATAAAGTACTACAAATGAAAATTCCAGAACACTTTATTGTATTCATTTGGAACCTGTACATGGACCAAGAGGTGGCATTCAAATAGAAAAAGGGACTTTATCACCACAAATTCAACTGTAGTAAAAACATATATTTTCTAAGGAAATGAGCTACAGGTTTATTTGTATTCATAAACTCCTTATTGGCTCTTGTGCCATGAAGCCAGAAAAAATGGTGATGCCCACCATCACTGAACATTTTGATAAAGGAGCCTAATCAAAAGGGAGAAAAATGTGAAACAGAAATCCAAATTCTCATAGAAACCAAACTTATTGGAGCAACTGAAAGCTCATTATTGCCTGGAAACCAGTTTTAAAACTGGAACAGAAACTGTCCCATGAAGTCGTTTTCAAAATAACAGTTTGGCTCAATTATTAAAAATATTTACTTTGAGCATTGCAACTTTTTAAAGAATCATCTGGATGAGATCAATCTGACAGAAGTAAAGGCACACACATGAGAACTTTAAGGCGCACATAGTCTAACTTAATGGTGGTGAAGCAACACAGACATTAGTAAGAATGGTGAATTCTCTGAGGTTAGTAACCCCTGTCATTTATATGCACATGTAAAAACCATTGAATGGGTGCCTGTTTTGTTGTTTATATTTTCATACACATATAGACCCAAAATAACGGTACCACATTTCTAACTCACTCCCTTACTTCTATGCAGTGGATGCTGACTCAATAGGGGCCCCATAGGATAGGGTAGATCTGCCCCTGTGGGTTTCTGAGACTGTAATTCTTTACAGAACAGAAAGCCTTATCTTTTCCCTTCAAAATTGTATTGTCTATTTCCGAGTGGTTCGTAGGTTTGAATTGCTGTGTGGTTAGCAACCCAGCACGTAACGCACCACACCAGCACAGCTCTTATATTCCAAAGCCCTTCCTCAGTCATACTTTACCGGTTCCATATCACAATCTACTCTCTCAACACATTTTGTCCATTTTCACTATCGACAGTTTATTTGATCTAAAAAATTTTTAATTCTGTTAGCCAATATTCACCATAGTATGAGGGACATTCAAAAAATTCATGGGAACATTCCTTTATCTTTTAATTACATTTTTCCAGGAACTTTTTGAAGCCTCTTATATATTCCTTTAGTTATATCACAAATATTACTTCAAAATAAAATGAAACTCCCAACAAAGATAAGTCAGAGGTCAGATTGCTTTACTGATAAAATCTAAATATTTCAGAAAGAACAAATATCAACCCTACTTAAACTCTTCCAAAACACAGATGAGGAGAAGCACTTCCTAAACAGCCTATGAGGCAAGCATTTTCCTGAGGCCAAAGCCAGACGAAGACATAGCAAGAACACTACAGATCAATCTCCCTTAAGATCACAGATGCATAAATCCTCCACAAACTATGAGCAAATCAAATTGAACAGCACAGTAAACAGATTACACACCAGAACCAAGTAAGATGTATTTCAGAAGTGCAAAAGTGGTTCAAAATAAGAATAATCAATGTAATAGCAGACCACTTTATACTAATAAACATAGAAAAAGCATTTGACAAATTTCAGCACACTCTCAGGATAAAAACACTCCATAAACTAACAAGAGAAGATAATTTTCTTATCATGATGAAGGGCTGTGGTAGTTACATAACCTGGTGTCAATTTGTGACTTGGGAGGATTAAGATGAAGGGGTGGAGTCTAGTCTGGCAATCTGGTTATAGCCAATGAGGCCTCTGTGTGGACATGGCTTCCCAAGGATTCTGGGAATTCCTGTATTTCCTCCTTGGAGACAACACTCTCTCTCTGCTCACTCCCTGAGAGACGCTCTACTGACAAAACACATGGCACTATGCCTTGGGAGCTGGAGAAGCCACATGGCCCTACCCTGAAGTAACCAGATCTCTGGAGCCAGAGAAGCCACAGAGACCCCTGCCAGCACTGAGATACTTACAACGCCACTGGATCCACAAGACTTCCAAAACACTGGCCTGTGATCCTCCTGCATTTGGCACCAAGGCACGTACTTCGTGAGTCTTAAGAGGACTTTATAGATTTGTATCGGACACAGGGGCTAATATTGGACTTACAGACTTGATCTGAACTGGGCTGGGATGTTTTCTCAATATTCAATTGCTCTTGTACATAAACCTCTTTCTTATATACATGTGAGCGTCTATGAATTTGTTTCTCTAGTCCACCCAGACTAATACAAGGGAATTTCTGAAAAATGAACAGTTAATATAAAACTCATGAAGAACTAGGAGGTTGACCCTAATTTCAGACACAAGACAAGGAAGGATGCCCACTTCCATTATTGCCATTCAATACCGTGCCAACCAGAGCATTTAGGCAAAAAATAAAGCATAAGCATCTATATTGGAAGGCAAAAAACTGTCTATATTTTAAATGATTAATTTTATGGTATATGAGTTTCACTTTGATTTTTATTTACTTTTTTTCATTGTTATCACTTTAATTTTTAAACATAACCAAATAATACCCATCAAAGGACGTATGTTGTCATATGAAATTCTAAATTTGAAAATGGTGCTTTACTATTTTAGGACGTGGTCTAAAGTATAAAAAATAGATATCAACCAAGATATATACATGTTTATGATGCCTGAATATACACAATATATTTCTGAAAGCTTATAAAAAATTCTGAGGTGTGGACGGGGAATTGTGATAGGAGGGAGATTCACATTTTTACTGTCATCCTAATGATAAAATTGATTCCACTAAGTACATATACCAAAAGCAAACTCACTGCCATCGAATTAATGCCAACTTACAGCAACTCTACAGGACAGGGAAGACCTGCCCTTTGAGTGTCCTACACCAACTCTTTACGGCAGTAAAACTGTTGTTTCCCACAGAGCAGCTGGTGGTTTCAAACTGCACACCTTTAGCAGCCCAACTCCTCACCACGACACTACCAGAGCTCCCTACCAAGGACATATATTATCGACTAACACCTCATGTAGTTCTTTAACGTAGCCCCAAGGACCAAATACCTTTTCAGTCTTTAAGCTATAAAGAGAACAAAAAGAGACTTGTCATTCTAACCTTCAGGGCTGCTATCAGGTGAATATGTCTGCTCCGTTTCCTGTGGTGTAGATGGTGCATTTTTCTTTTTCAACATCTCCAAGCTTTCCAAAGCTGTACTGTGTTCAGTCAGAGACCTTAAAAGGGAAATGTTATTTTCTAATACAGAAAGTCCTGGGGAATTTCTAGGATTACTCCAATATTGTCTGCAATCCTTACTACTTTCTCGCTCAGTGTGTCCGTGGGGTAAAGCTCCAATCTGTCCCAAGTCTGCAGATTCGGAACTATGCACTTCTGGCTCGTCGGAAAAAGGCTTTTTTCCCAGATGATAAAGTGAAGAATTAGAAAATTGGGTTTTTGATTTACCGAGTGTACTAGATGCAGAATGATCTTGATTGGTATTTAATAGCTGGATACTGTTGTCATTGCTGGAAGGGGATGGGAAAGCCTGTCCATCAAGATTTCTGTCCAGCTCACTTCCCAACAGTAAGGACTCAGGCTGAGTGTCTTCTGGAAAGAGGTGATGGTTTTCAGGAGTCTGATCAGTTACTCTTTTGAAAAGCTGATGAGCATGGACATTTGTTTGTGAGTCTTCAGAGTTACTTGGGAGTGAAACAAAACCAACGTCAACGTCAACTTTTTGAAAAGATTTATTAGCATCCTCATTATTGTCTACATGTTTATCATCGATCCACTCTAAAGATGAGCTTACATTACTTAATGTGTCACCACGGTCCTCCTGGATTTCTTTCCCAATGTTCCCAGCTTTGCAAGACGCTGTGTCAAAACGCACACAGGTTCCTGCACTAAGCTGAGATGACGGAGAGCCTTCAACAGGTTTGTCTCCGGTCGCCGTGGAGGGAGGCAAATAGTCTCTGTCAGATTCCTTACCCCTTCTCTCTCTACGACTCTTTTGAAAACATGAACTGCCATTATGAACCAAAATTTCCTTGACCAAACACTCTGAGTCATGAATAATTTTCCTGCTTTCCTGGGATTCCTCCTCAGAGTCACTGGTCTCAAAATTGTTCAGATTAAAATTTATTTCCCAAAACGGCTGTGTTAGCTTACTCATCGGTTCATTCACACCACTGATACCTTCGTTATTTGTGCTACTTTTAGAAAACATGCCTGCACAATTATCAGAGATGCTAAAACGGCTACTTAGAGAAGATTCGGTTTGTAGATGCCCCCCGTCTGGCAGAGAAGATGGCACTGGTTGTTCGTGTTCTTTTTCTCTTTCTGGCGTTCCTAGAGCATTTTCTCTAATAAGAATTGGTCCTTTTCTGCATATCTGGTCATTATGATCCCAAGGCCCTTTACTATTTCCTTGGACACCAGGTACTGAGAATAAGCCATCATTTGCTTCACTGCTATAGGTATCTGGCGAGCTAATGCTTTCCCTGGCTGACGGAATGCCACAGTTTATTTCCTGATCCCAGGAGGGTGGATCATGATCCAGGACTTGCTTGTCTTCATTATACTCTTCCCCCATTCCAGCATGCATTTCCGAGGGCTGTACCTTCTTTTCTACCAGGTCTCCCGTACCTGTGTTTACATCATCTCCCTGGGCCTTGGGTTTCCTTTCGACATCACTTTCCTCTGTATCAGAAGAATGTGAACTCTGTGAGGATAAATACATGGCCCATCGGCTTTTCTTGCTCACGGGATTGCCTGGTTGATGCTGGTAATTAATCACAGTATTGCCTGGTTGATGCTGGTATTGTAAAGTGTCTGTGTTCAGTCCCTCAGCATACCTTTCCTGTTCAACTAAGCACTTTGCTTTGGTCGGAGTTTTAAACTGTTCTTGGGGCTGCATGTACGGGCAATGTTCTGTAATCTCTGAGTTTAGTTCTTTACCTGCACTAGATCTGGACTTCAGCAGAGCCACTATCTGTGCTTTGCTCCTGATGTTCTGTGAAATTCCTAAACAGTGAGATGCTAACCCGTCTCTTTTCACGGGTTCATTGGTGAGGAAAGAGTCTGAGTGTTTGCTCACAGAGCTGATAGTAGAATAAAAATAATTGTCACCACATAGTGCTTCTGAGTTAATCTTGAAGGATGGAGCACAGACAGATGAAGACGGCATGCCATCTTTTTCTCCATTGTACGCAGTGATGTTCTCTGGCTCTGTGGGGATATTCTCTGCATCTTTCTTGCAAGCAGTAGGAAACAAAGGCAATGCATCATAGAATGGAGGAAGAAAAGCTGGCCCAGGTGTCCTGGTCTCAAGTGATGCAGTAGGCAGACCACTTTCTGTAGTCGCTATTTTCTTTGGACCTTGGCGTGGCACATGAAAACCCTAGCATTGAAACAAAGAAGGCAATTATCTATTAGTAGGTGAAGTACTTACACAGACAATGTTTAATGAATTGGGATGAAGTGGGGGTGGGGGTGGGGGCAGGGAGTATATGCTTTGCTTAACATAAAGTCATAATTAAGATTTAAGCTCGCTCAAATAAAATGCTAAATTTCATATCTAGTAAAATATTCCTAATCAGGATTCACTTCTTTTCTAAGTATATTATGAAATAGAATTCTAATGATAAAGTACAATAGTCTCAAAATGCACTACTTCTTCATTTCACAAATACATGCTGATTGATTATTTTTTTAAAAAAACTTACAGGAAACTTCCTTTTTAAACCAGCAGGCTGGCATCCAAGGGACCGGCCAGAAGGGAGAATCCTCCTTGAACTGAACTGCGGTGCTTCTTTAATGACATCTTGAGTCAGCGCTGCGCTTCCAGCAACTTTAACCTCCTCAACTGTGATTAAGTATCGATCACTTTCTAAGTCATCGCCAGGTTTAACCTAAGTTTTAAAGAATGCCAAAACCATACATATCAAATTACTTGATTAGCACTGTTAGTTCAGCAAGACACAACGGATGTTCAATAAATAAACTAGTCTTGATTAATTTGCTGTTATGCATTAGCTATTTGTCAACCAGCACAATAATAGCCAGCACAGATAATCATACAAGAAAAAGAATCCACTACTGCATTCGTTAGACAAATTGGTGGGGTGTAGGGGTGGGATAGATGGGGAGTCTTTGTGATATCCTTGATACATGCTAGGGAAACAAAGACAAAGAAAAAGAAGTATCTTCTTAAGTTAAAATTCATCCAACTAAACGTATAGTTTAATTACAATTACATGGAAGCTATTAAGTATTAATTATATATCATTATAAATGAAACTTAATTATATATATGCATAATTATGTTCAATATGTATATTATTCTAGCTGCTTATTTAATTATGTTCCAAAAAGCACCTTAGTCACTTTAATATATAAAATATAGTACTAGCTATCACCTGATTGTAGCATAAAAATAAAATGATCAACTTAGCTTGATAATACACAGAATTTGTATCAGGTTAAATGTTCACCAATGAAAGGATTAACAAGATGAGATAAAAGCAACAGTAGTTACCATTAACTAAGTACCACAAAAGACCATGAGCACCTCTCCAAGCCACTTTTGTGATCATTGTTAAAAGACCACAGAGCAGTCTTGATGGTGCAGTTGTTCTGTGTTGGGTAGGCTGCAATCCAAATGGTTAGAAGTTCAAAACCACCAGCAGGTCCTTGAGGGAAAGACTAGGCTTTCTACTCCCATAAACAGTTAAGTCTCAGAAATCCACAGGAGGTCATCAGCATTGACTTGATGCTAATAAGTTTGGTCTTGGAAAAAGACCATCCCACTCTGAATGCCATGTAAAATTTCAGAATGTTTGAAATTATTTATTTTAACACTGAGAAACACTGTGCTGTTGTGAGGTATATATATGTTATTCTTGATCTTCAGATCAACCCATTAAGGTTACATGTGATCCACCTTTCCTTTTAGAGTAGGGAAGTTAGAATGGTTAATGAGCTAGGAAGCATTTGAGGATAGGAAGTGAATCTGGGCTCCACGAACTCCCCAATAGGAGACAAGCAGAATAACAATTTGAGAAAAGATTGAAATAATAATTTCAAACATAATAGGTATAATTAAAGCGATCACCTATGACAGCAATGCAATACAGCTGGGATTCTTAGATGAGTCCCAGCCCCAGAACTAGAACCCTATGAACGTAAGCAAGTTACTTAACCATCCTGCACTGCACTCCCTATTTATAAAAACCACAGGGTTGTTTTAAGAGCTAAACTAAACATTGTGTGGAAGTTTTTAGAATAGGATCTGGTCAATAACAAATGTTCAAAATGTATTAGCTATAATTATTAATGAGTGCTAAGACAGTACTTTTTAGTAACAACAACATCAATCAAGGAAGTATTTAAAAGATAGGGTTTTTTTAAACAATCATTTAAAAATAAGACAAACACACTAAAATACCTCAAGGTGCTTAAGAAAGACACTCTCCAGACAACCTCCTTTGTCATCATATAAAACTGCCTATGTGAAAAGAAAATGAATGTTAACAAGGATCAGAACACAACTCAGTATTTTTTCACCCTCTTAATAGCAAATAAAAAATTATCATATAGGTAAGTCACATGCTAAAATGCTTACCCATTTTGTTTAACGTGGATTTGAAAATGCATCCATTTCAATGGTCTGTTCAGTAGCTACTCAGTCAGGGCAAGAGAGCAAAGGCATCCACATAAAAAAATCAGTAACATAATCTGTACCAAAAGGATCTTAAAGAGCCTGGCAGCATAGTGGTTACGAGTTTGGCTGTGACCCGCAAGGTCAGCAGTTCAAAACCACCAGCTGCTCCCACAGAGAAAGACGGGGCTTTGTATTCCTGTAAGCAATTAGCCTCAGAGACCCACAGGGGCTGGTCTACGTTGCTCGACAAGGTCACTGTGAGCTGGCATTGATGGCAGCGAGAGAGAGCTAAGGGTCCTGGAATAGAGTTAGGAGGAAAACAGACGCACCTTGTTGTTAGGTGCCACCGACTCACAGAGACACCCTGTGGCAGTAAACGTGCCCCACTGGGTTTCCGAGGTCACCACCTTTACAGAAGCAGAGCACCACTGGGTGAGCTCAATTTGACAATCTTCTGGTTATAGGTTTGTAGAGTTCTCCAAATGTTTGACACATGCACTTATATATTATCATCATGTAATTTTTCATTGTAATCTTATATGGATTTTAGTAATTAGGTACCCCCAAAATCTGAGATTTAAAACATTTGTGTTATTTTTACTTTAAAGAATTCTTTTTTTTTCTTTTAAAATGTATACTGTTTTAGATGATTTATAACCACCAGGGTGTAGTGGTTATGTGTTGGCCTGCTAACGACGAGGTCAGCAGTTCGAAACCACCAGCCACCAGCCGCTCCATGGGAGAAAGTCAAGGCTTTCTATTCCTATAAGGAGTTACAGTCTCAAAAACAGACTTGCAGTTCCTATTTAAAATGTGTAATCGAGAAATTTATTTTGAAAATGTAACTTCTTTATTGAAGGAAAGGTATTATGTGGATTTTACTAGGTTTATAAATAATATTAGAATATCATAAAACCCCAAAGATTATAAGTTTAATTTAACAGAATTAAAAGAGAGGGGAGTTTTGTTTGTTAGAGGTATCTACAATGTTAAAAAGATTGAAAGCAAACATTAAATTTAATATAAAATGTTCAAAGAAATGTTTAAGAGATTATTTAAAATCACCTGGTTTGCTCAACTTCAAAGATTCCAGTGAAAGTTAACTAAATTTATAAATTTAATACCAAGAGTAAGTTACCCTGAAGGCTTAAAGCAAACTAGATTAAAATTTTTTTCCTATTAAATTTAGTAAATTAGGTGCTATTTTTAAAAAAACAGTAGTTAGTAGCCTTTTCTTTATGGAAAGTCTTCCCTCAGGGATACTAATAACCTTAAAATGACAAGGTCGAAGAAGGACCGAATATGGCAGAGCAGCCTAGAGTTACTTCAGGAGGCCTGATCTCACCAATGTGTCCTATTCTCATCTAACTAAGAGAAGCACTGGCATGCTTAGAAGATAGGCTCAAGATCCCCCAAACCTGGGTTCACATCTGACTCCTCTACTTTCCAACTGTGAAACCCTGCCACCAACTTATCCACCTTTCTGTGCCTCCATTTCATTATCAGTAAATGAACATGATATACAACATCACAATAAATAAAGAAAAACTGAAACTGTCAACTCTTTCATTCGACTTGAAGCAACAATCAATGTACATGGAAGCAGCAGTCAAAGAATCCAAATGGTGTCACTGTGTTTTTAACACAGGGAATGTGAGAAGTCAAACGACTCAATGGGAGTGCTAGCAGGAATGATGGGAAAGTTCGCTTGGCTGGATTCAAGCATTACACTAGACTTTATAAACAGTATAAATTTTATAAAGCAAGCACTTTATAAAGAGTTTTTGAATTAAAAAAATTTTAACTACATAAATTAGCTGCTGTAATGTTGGATTCAATTGACAACTTCTGTTTCCACATCAAATCAGTCTTTGAGATATCTGACACTTTATCATCCACAGAATTTTCCTAATATGAACCTAGTAGGAAGGCAGCTTCGCCTTTCAGACATGATGGAGAAAGTCTAAAAGGGTGTATGTGTTGTTAGACAAGGGGGACCTGGGATAGGTACACCTGAAAGAAAGGGGGTCAGGGCGGGTGGTGGATAACACGTCCTTTTCTATACATAACAGAGACAGTCAACTCTTACTGGTTATGGCCCCTGTTAGACTTGTGACTATCTGTATGTTTGTTGGTTTGTTGTTGTTGTGTGTGAGGTTTTGTTTGCTTGTCTGTTATCTTTTTTATTGTATTAATCATTTTAA